GTACTCACATCTTCATAACTCAATATCTACACTTTCTTCAGTGAATTTGCAATAGAACAAAGACATGGAGAAAAGATACTGAAATAAAAGAAAACAAACTCTTGCAAACAAAATTTACTGAATGCACAAAAACATTAACCAGATCCCTACAAGAAATAAATCAATAATGTCATTTGATACTATTCTCCATGCCATTGGACCCTAAAAAAGATCAACCCTAAATTCTAGAAGTTTTATACGTCACTCTAACTTTTTGGGAAAGTGTGACTTCGCCGTGCTTGAAAAACGATCACTCTTCGCAATTACCTCTTTCTTCTCCCGGATACTTCCTAATCTTAAACAATACTCAATGCCCTTTAATTTGATAAAAAGTTGGTGTCATACTTCGTTGATTGGACTGGATTGTATAGGTTCTTAAAAATGAGTTATATTTCTTGAAACCATGAACATCTTGTTTTCCTTATTTCAGCGCACAAGTTTCTCGATATGATAAAAGCTAGACAACCAGGGAAAACACGTGCAAATGGAGAAACATGGATACGCTCAATTGGACAGGTAGAATCTGTGACAGAACCTGCATGAAATGCTGTTGACATCTACAACTTCTCTCACTGGAAACATTCCACCTCCACAGCATGAACTGGTATTCAACTTTTGTAGTTTCAATCACTTTCCAAGCTCAATTGTTGTCGACTGCGAGTGAGAGCAGATAGAGCTCGAGGTAAGAAATGAATACCTTCTCCATCCAGAAAAATAGTTAGATAGTCTTCAATGCACCTCTTGAATAGTACACCTAGTGTTCATATTTGTTCCTGAAATGCCAGGAACCAAGTACTCGTCATAAACATAAGAGTGACTGTTCCTTGTTGTTTTAACTGGCAAAACAACCATGGATTTGGGGTATGAGTGTGTACTCGAGTTATTCAGTTTCTTCATATTTTCCGAAAGATGTTATATTGTATAAGCATCGTGTTACGTCGATGGAACTGGCTCCTTTAAGACGCAAGATTGTCACATCACTTGAACGTATATCAGCAAAGTAGACAAACAGCAGCTACATCTCTCACAATGGAATCTTCATCGCTCGTCAGTATGTAAACAAGTAACAACGACGCGAGAAATATTTCACTTCAAACAGTCAACGGCTCATCCTGGTCCATTCTAGTTATGGATCAGTCTTTTGGGGGACATATCCTAACTGATGATTGCCAGATGGAAAATACATCCTCTGGCTTGAAATTGTCGAATAGCCCCGAGTGCACAGCAGACTGTTGTAAGTCGCGCCAAATCTACATGGACGGTATTTTTTGGAGTGTGAGCCAGAAGAACCAGGTGGTTTTTGACTCTGCCGACAACAGGGAGTCACAACATTAGAGTTCTCCTTGGAATCGGCAATCACGTCAGCGTCAAGATCAAACTTCGTTTATGAGTTAACTTCGCAGTCTTTTATAGTCTTTGATGGAGCAAGCGCATGCAAGCAGTCAGTCGGCCACATCGTCTTTGAACCCCACACACAGCCCATGCAAGTCCCATCGATGCTTCCGTTTGGAGACACTGCACGCAAGATGTATTTTGTCCGTTGTCCGCATACTTTAACAGTTTCTTTGTTCGCCATGTCAAGAGATCTGGAATCCAAGTCACTCCTGCGTGCTTTCGTTGGCTGGCGGCTCGACAGTCGTCTTGTGTACACACTCTTCTGAAGTTCTCGGGTCTCTCAAGGTTACTGATCTCACTCCGGTGGCATTAGAATCGTTGAGTGAAATTACAGCTAGTGCTGAAAGGCTAAGCTTTGAAACAAACTGACATTCCGTTGTCCGTCTTATACTGCATGAACAAGTTTGGAAGAATCAACAGTAAGAGATTAGGAAGGCTAAGAAACAAATCAATTCCTTTGTAGTGAAATTTTATGAAAAGCAAACCATGTACAGTAATCAAAATATTGAATATATATATATATATATATTAATGAGGTACTTTCAGTATATGCATTTGTTTTAGGTATTAGCCAGTCTGAATAACAATTGATTATTATCATTGATAGGTATCAATGTCCTTTGGTTAAAAAATAAATTTTCACTGCTCAGTACAAATGAGACTTACAACTTATTCATGTTCTTAAAATTATAATTAACTATTTTTTAAAAAAAAAATTCCAAATTTGATTTTTGTAAGATATAAGATTACTTTTTAATTTTTACAGCACCATACAAGTATCAAAAATATAAACACTCCATTATTATTTCGACTAAAAATAAATTTGTATCAGAAAAATGAATTTATGTTCCCGAAGTATCATTTATTGTGTTAAGGTTAAATCAGTCTTCAACAATTCTTTTTCTATCTTCATTTTGTAGTTATTTATTTATTATAAAAATATTTAAAAAAAGTTGGCCGTGGCAGATGTGCGTTTTACTATACTTTAGCTTCAGCCCCATCCGCTGAAGTAGTCATTCGAAATTCACACGGGCTTGTTAGACTATTCCCACATTTGAGCGGAGGAACACGAAATTGTATTGGTTAAAGTTTCAATGTAAATTCTAGCTTAAAATTGTTTTATATCTACATATGAAAATTGATATTAAAATAATATCACATAAAATTTTACAATTATTCTACAATCACTATACGCATAATCATAAATAATATATACTTTTCAGAATGTGATTAAGTAAAATATGTATTTTATAGATATATATGCAAAAATTTACTCGAAATTCTCTTTTATAATGAAACAAATTAGATAATAATCATAGAATTCTAAACCACCAGAGCTTAATGTGGATCCAAAACACTTGTGTGATAAATTGGTATAACTTTTTCGTTGATATCATCTAAATTTGAATGATGCAAAGAATAATTTTCGTTATGAGATTTGCAAACATGAAACTTTCCACAAATAACATTGTACTCTAAACCACAATTTTTTGTGATGTTGTGATACGGTAATAATTACTTAGCGTGTTTCAGATCTCTTATACAATGGACTTGACTGACTCATGATACGTTTTTTTGAAGATTAATTACCTATATCTATAAATAAATATAAATAAATATATATCTATATTTATTCATTTATTCATTTTCTCTATACTTTCAAGAATTGATAGCTTTGGTTCCACACGAAACAAAGCTCGACCGGAGTGATTGTTGGTCTGTTACGGCAAAAGTAGTCTTCCATAAGCGTGTTTTGAATTTACATTGGGGTTGGATGACTGCTTTGTCAATCTAGGTTCTCCTGTCTTGGCTCTGCTGGGTTAAGATACCCCCAATATCATAGTTAGCAATTGAGTCATGAGTTATTTGCATGATGTGATCCCATCAAAACGTAAATTGCTTATGAAACCTACTAAGTTTCAATTTACCGGATTAGAACTCATCGACGGTGTACCGTCAAAGAGTTCTAATAATATGTTATAGTTCTAGTACGGATATGTTCTTGTACAAATGAGTTTTACGAATATGTTATAATTTATGTTTTTGCAATGGTTTCTATTGAATGCCATTGGAATTTTAACAAAATTGGATATGCTGTTGCCTGCAAGATTTCCGGATCTTACCGAATTTATCTAAATTTCTACACTGGAAAGGTTGCACTCGCGTTCCAAAAACAATATGTTTTTGGAACAATCTGCACAAACACATTAAATCGGAGAAATGCCTTTTGGATCTGTAAACATTGATATGAAATATAGGGCAATGTCTCCAACAGTACACCTTCCAACTCCAATGATCGTGAGTTCTTTCGTGGATCTACAACTCCAGACTGCCACAATGAAGATTTCTGCGCACATGAATTGTTGCGGACAGTGATCGTGAGTTCTTTCGTCAAACCATCAAATTTCTGTTATGGTGGATCTACAACTCCAGACTGCCACAATGAACATTTCTACGCACATGAAATGAAGATTTCTGCGCACATGCGGACGAATTCATCCTTCAAATAACTACATAAACACATTGAATCGGAGAAATTCCTTTTGGATGTGTAAACAATGATATGAGATAAAGGGCAATGTCTCGAACAGTACACTTTCCACTTCCAATGATCGTGAGTTCTTTCCTCAAACCATCAAATTTCTGCTCCGGTGGATCTACAACTCCAGACTGCCGCAATAAACATTTCTGCGCGCATGAATTGCTGTGGACAAATTCATACTTCCAACAACGGTGCGTTCTTAATGAATTGCTGTGGACGAATTCATACTTCCAACAACGGTGCGTTCTTAATGAGCCGATTGACTATCACGTGTGCTGAACGATAGGGTACCGTCAGGGAAATTGAAATTTGATGGGTCCCATCAAGCAATTTATGTTTTGATGGTGTCCTATCAAGCAAATATCTCATTGAGGCAAGCAATTTATGTTTTGATGTTTTGAGTCATGGCGTAGAAACGGAACTAGAGTCAAACGTAACTAAAATCCAGGTACCACACTTCCGGCACCTCAAACATTAATTCGGAACAACGACTCAACCATACATAGATACTTTACACTAACAAAGTAGATTTTTTAACCGTTCAACTACTCTGATTGAGTTGTTTCGAATGTGGATGATCGCAAGTAATGTGATACAATATAGTCTCAAGAGTAAGAGCAGATAGAACGCATCTACGGCTCATTGCAACTTCAGGCCAGATCTGATACATCTGCTGTCTGTCAGCACAGGCCCGTTACAGATGGACCACACAACTAGCAGCTGTATATGACAGGCAGCAATACTTTCTAGTGTGTACTTCGGTTCTTAGTGTGCGACTACTGGTCAGACGAGGATTGCTTTTGTACTTGATTACTTGAAAACATGTCAGATGTTCGTGTCGAGATTAGATTGTTCGATGTCTTCTCACTCACGTACTTCACTGCATTCTTCGGTGGATAAGACAAGAACCGAGTGTGACGAGAGTGTGCCTCATCTATAGCTTTGAGTGTCAACATAGGCGATCCTCGAACAATTGCAACCACGGCTTCGATCTTACTTATCAAATCATTGTGCTACAAATGGCAAATGTCCTCCATCTATACTCTTTGCCTACGCGGACTTCACTCACCTTAAAAGTGGCAAATGTCACTCGCTTTGGAGCAAGGACAAATCAAACTTATTCCGTCCTGGTACTTTACATCAATAGGTGACAGACATGAAATGTAAACAATGGCTACAACCTACCTTATCAGAACCTTGAGGAGCCGTCGGTCTGGTATTCACCTTCTGGAATTCTACTGCAACTACAATGACTACTCTAGCATTATACACGAGGTATGGCTCCTCCAAAATTTCGGTAACAAAAAGACGGCTACCATTGTAGTCGTGGCCAACCACCTCATCCTACAGGGTTGAGCCATCCATCACAGAATAATCCGTATTAATCTATACTCAAGAGCTTTCCCTCTTTCAATCTAAGTTTTCTTCTGAACTTTTTCTCACGCCCACGCCCAGTAATTGTCAGCTCATCTATCTGCTTCCAAGAAGCTAGAAAGAACAACAGCTCCTGGCCTCATCTACTGGGATATCTGCCGTATGATGTAAGGAGCTCTCTTAAATTTTGAATCGTCATCGACCGGTCTCAGCTTCGCTCATTCCAAAAGTTGCCCCCGAGTGCCAAAGAGGATGTTATCCTGTCCCCAACTCAAAGCGCTGGGCATCTGCACCATTCTTGCAAGCAGCTCGACTTGGAGTAGTCTGGCTCACTCTGCACTACGAGGGCACACCTGTGTGTGAACTGTACCCATAATAGGGTCCCATTTATTTGCACTAATTTACAAATTTCTTTGTTCCTCTGTGTCTGTTTGTTTCTCCAATAATGATTCCATAAATGCATAACTTATCCTCGTCAAAGACGGCAACACATGGGAAGGAGCATTTAATAAATCTCCCCATGGCCTTGCAGCCCTCATCCCTACCACGTCTTTGGGCTCCCTGATCTTTGGTGTTGCTGCTTTCCCATACAGTGCCGAAAAGGCCGAGGCACCTGTTGAACAAACCATCACAAGCATTCCTCATCAGCGAATTGGGCTAGTTGAGCACGAAGACAAAGAAAAATGAAGGTACTGAACACGATATATTATTACAAAAGAAAACGATGAAGAGAAACTAACCTTCTTCAGGTCCTTGAGGCGCTGGTAATGCAAATACTTCTGGTTGCACTTTCTTATCAAGTGGATTGAAAAGAACGTATTCTCGTGAACCAGTGAGGACAGCCAAACAGCTCTCCGGTTTGCGTCCGTCATCACTCTCCTTGACCTCCTCTTGGTCCCGAAGTAAATTGGACGTGGAAAACATCAGCGTTCCTCCGCGACCCTGTAATTGTCCCCAGTTTCAGAGATTGACGCAAGGTAAGACGTAGGTCAATAGCAAAATAAACTAATCACTTCCGATTTCAAACACAAATGAATCCACAACACTTTCTTCGATATCAACACAAAACCGTAGCTGTAGACTCCATCCTTGAGCTGTGTAGTCAAAAGGCGAAAAATCAATCACAATGCGGTGCTTCAGAGTGGTAAAGATATCTCAAACGTCTCACCTCTCTGATACTCCAGGCAGCTATGGGGGTAGGATCTTCCGGATTGAAAACCGCAACCACGGCCTTTCTGTTTGCTGCATCCTCGTAACCGTCCTTGGTTTCCATGCTGGGAGGTCCAGTCAGGGCTATGACCGAGAAAACAGAGTTTCTAGGATCGACAGCCAGTGCTAGCAAGTAAAACAGAAAACCACAGAAAATTAGACAGATGCGCAGCTTCACATGTGATGTTGTATCTTTCAGTGAACGACACTTCGCTCTCGTACGAACAGTCCGTATCCAAAGGAAGTGTAGATGTCAGGTGAGACTTAAAGAATATGGTATATCAACAAATTTATAAGATTCCAAAAATAAATTGAGCTAATAATACAAATATTTGCATACCTTCTACATATAGTAGACTCGACCACCGCACAGAAAGAGTTGGTAAATGCCAGACGGTCATGCGCGGCTTGCCCTCAGTCGATGCAGCCACTAAAAACTGGGATTTGTGGACAAATGCCAAATGCCTTATTTTCTGCGAAAGAAAAACCATCCGCTGTTAAAGAAATATAAAAGTAGAAGGATACTTCCAAGTTTGCTTGAAGGCATTAAAAATCAACAGGAATTTCCTCATACCTGTGGAGAAGGGACTGATGCCAGTGAGGTCACGAACCCATTAGTATATGGGTTCCACAGTGTCACAAGCTCTTCGGCTGCGGCAGCTAGAAGAGATCCATCCGGTGAGAACGCTCCCGCCAACATCTGCTTGTGTCTGTTGATAAAAGATACGACTTACTTCGTCAAGATCAAGACACGCTCCGACGTTCAAATACAATGCACACGATTGTGAAGCTCTGATCTATGATGGACTATTCATTACTCTATGGTGATGATTCCGCCTTCTTAAGCTAAATATACAACACAACGTCGCTTTCATTCTCATTGAAATAATACAAGAAGGTTCCATACCCTAAGTGTAACATAAACTTCTCAATATCGTCAATATTCAGATAAATAAATGGATACTGTTCCACCTTTGCTAACAGTTCTATCGTCTACACCAACAAACTCAAAACCTTGATACTTTGTTGCAGTACCGTGCATGAAGGAAGCAACCTCTAAAAAAAAGTATGCATATATGAAAAGTTCAGGTGGAAATGCATGGTGAGGTAAAAGACAACAATTGACCTGTAAGATCCGACTGAACGGCATCTCCAACCGGTGACCGTTTCATAATCATCTTCCACTTTGAAATCTGAGCTTTGCACCCACACCTTAACAGACAGCAGCCAAGAAGACGGATTTTCAGTTGCGTACTCTACATGTGCTGATGAGAAGAACCGGCCCTCCACTGATTGAAACAAGAGGTGAATAGATTCAGTTACCTTAAAAGTGGCATCTACTGAACACGTGACAAGAAGATGTTGTGAAGGATGGTAAACCATAGACGTGATGTCAGCCCTGCTCACAAAAAATACTGAAGGTTCAGAGAAGCAAGTCTTAGGAATTTAAACAAAGTGTGTCTTGAAGCAAACCTGACGAATGAGACCACTGAAGTGAAGGTTGGCAACTAGAACAGACGGTAACGGAACTCCATGTTCACAAATCCCTGATACATACCCGTGTGGATCATTGACGACTGTACTTAGTGTGTAGCTCAACCTTCTGGCATGTCGGTCCCAAAACTTCAAGGTGGCAGAGCCACCGATGTCTTCCTCAGGCAGACAAATATCAATTGTGGCCATGATAGATCCGTCGGAAGAGAAAGCAACATGCGTCACAAAGGTCTGGCAAAGTAAAGGCTGTTGTGAGTAGAACATCCTTGAAACAGTCAATCTTTTCGTCCAAAATAACACATTCCCCAACTTGAAAAGACATACAGTGCGGGTACATATAATCAGCTGTTAAGCAATAACTCATACCGATGGTCCAGATTCGCTCAGGTCCTTCTTGAAATCGGCACCGACGTATGTACGCGGAGCAATTTGAACCTGTTGTGATCACGACAATACACATACTTTATCTCAATCGCCTTCAAACAGCAATTGTGCGTATGGTGACAACATACGGAAGCTACTTTTGACAGAGGCAGATATGCGCTTTAATTTACTTGAGCTTGAGCTCCATCGACTACAGTAGTCATTCCATCTTCACACGAGCTTGTTGGAGTCGACAAAGACGTTTATCTACGGCATTCAGCTCTGCTCAAAGTGCCTCACCGTCCACCATTTACACAAATATTAATCAAGACATCCGTGATGCATGTGGATGTAAACACATACCTCAGCTAAGTGAGTATCGCGGACAGGGTCGTAAAACTGCAAGCCCATATGATCTGTTGGAAAAGCAAGCTTTCCATCCTTTGGCTCAAAAAGGGCCCTTGTGTTGCTTACCCACTTTAAAACATCCGGCAGAGGTGTAAATGTCTGATGAAAACAAGAACAAAAACCATAAGCGCATGATCGGTCCACAATGAAGACATCGGATGTCCGTGTCCTCAATGTTCACAAACTGTGACTTGTTGCAGTTACACCAACAGACCTCTGTCTTGGACGTTCGATAGACTTAAAACACCGAAAAATCTGCGTTAAACTAGAGGCAACTCATAAAGTCCAATTCGATCGCACCCAGACCGTCAGACAGGAAGAACTTTTGTCATAAAGTGACTATACGACTTAGTGAGCTTACAAGACACGAAGTCAATAGAGAAGGCTTACCCTAATTCCCTGAAAGCATTTCTCCACATGGGTAGTACCCAGATTAATGAATTTGATGGTGTTATCTAGACAAGAAATCTGCGCAAAGAACCATCACGTCATATTCAATTTCAAAACTACAAAATGCACAAGTACCTTAAAAAAATGAGGTCCTCGTCTGTAATGATGTAGGACAAGAACGGTAGGATTCATCATTCTTCTACCCAGGGTTCACTCTGTGCTTGCTGTCTTTACTCCCATGCAATTCTGTCAATACTTTTCTTGTAGGCTACTCATGTCTGCTAAATATTTGACAGTAATGGTGCTTTAAACTTCATTGAAACATGAAAACAGAAGGGAATATCCAAGTTTTGGATACTGAAAAACTGAAAAATCGTTCCGACAATCCTAGATTAGTTGCATCGGTAAAGGAAGTGATATCTTCTGTTGATATGGAATGACCATGAAAAATAGAGGACTCTTACATGACCGTATAGTAACAGTAAACATCGAGATAAATCTGCATACTTACGGCAAAAACAGAAGGATCTTTCGACTGTGTAATGTACACGAGGGGCCCTCCAAGTCTAGGCCGATATTGTTGTTTGCCAGTTTCCGGTTGCCAGATCACAAGTGTCCCTTCTGATCCTCCTGTAGAACGACATTCAGAGAGAAGGTTTACGACGTTGAGTCCTCTGATGCATCAACCATGACAAAAATCAACCTTACGTTCGACATTGCAGCAAACAAACAACCCTTATATTTCACACCTCACCTGAAAAGAGGTAGGTTCCGTCAACAGAAAAGCACAAAGATTGGACGGCATTTGCGTGCCAATGATAAGTTGTACACGATTCTGCATCGTCATTTCCCCTGACACCAGAAGCAGAGTGTTTGGGGCCTTTCGGGATGACAGATGTCGGACTCCCCTTTTGTTTCACTATCTGGTCAAGACGACGCTCGCCAACACTTTGCCAGCAAAGAATTCGACCAGTATCGTCACCAGCAGCGACCACTCTTTCAGTGGGATCGAAGGTAACGACCCTACAGGTCTTCGTATGGTGTAGAGTGGTGAGTGTGATGCATCGAACGTGCACGCTGTACGTGGATGGAACTCTCCAGACATGCACCTTTCTGTTCCAGGTCAGTCCCACGAAAGAACCGAAGGGACTAACAGAGAGCGCTTGAGGAGTTATTGTCTGGAACAGTGTTCAAGTTTCATATCAGTGCAGAGTGTAACATTTGTAAGAATATTAAGCGGTACTTTATGTAACTCTCTCTTCAGAGCCAGATACGAGAAAAATGGGGTGATTTTGAGCGTCTTCTCCATACCTCAGTCTTCGAAAAATAATTTGCAAAACTAAATGAATCTCCTGGCCAACTGTTCTACAGAAGGTATAGAGAAGCCAATCACGAATTGCGCTGACAGAGGAGAAAAACCAGACGCAAAGCATTTGGAGCGAGAAGATAAGTGATAAGAGTTCGAGGCGGGCACCTTTATGAGACTACCTTGAAGGTAGCGCGATTTGGTCAAATCGTAGACTTTGACACGGCCATGCCAGTCAACTTTGCCTCCTTCTACAGCCTCAAGCCGGGGCTCATGTCCTTCTTTCAGCCACCGGAGGGACAGATAGGCTATCATGTTACTTGCTTTCTCCCCTTCTTTCGGAGGGGGCCTCAACAGGCTTGGGATAACCTGTAGAGACGACCCACTAGGTAAATATTTGAACCGACCCAGGAATTATCTACACAAGAGACTCAGAATCCGCTGACTCCAGATGATTATGACCCTCTAGAATTATAATTCCTCGAATCCTTTCATCTACAGACGACGACACTCAAGCTACTTGAACTTCCTTCGAGTACTGGAGGACAAAATTATCGGTTCACATTCGAGAACTGCTGATGGTAATTGACCTTCGAGTTCCGTAGCACAGACAAAATTCAACATCCAACATGAATGGAAAGAGTTCTTAACTACTGAAGAAAGGATTGAAATTCCAAAGAATTTTATCTCGAGAAGTACAGCAGCTCGCGTACCATGGACACAATGGGTCTACCGACGACGATCGTTTTGATTGGCGGTGCGTCGGTACTGAAATCCCAAAAACGGACAGTACCGTCCATTGAAGCAGTCCAGCAATGGTTGGTAGAAACATTTCCGGTAATGTTTGTTGGGACCACAATGACAGTAGTAACAGCATCTTTGTGCCCGCTCAAATGCAGAACCTGTGATGAGGACATTTCGTGTGAGAAGGGGTCATACGTCTTCAACTCGAGAACGCGGTTGTTATTTCAATCCAAAATTCTTTCTCAGCTATACCATTCCTAGTGGTATCATCAGACCGCCCCAAATTCGTTTGTTCCTCCTAAGCATGATATGATTTAATTCCATACATCCATGATCCAGACTTTTCTCTGGTTCCTCTCAGCGGGTGAGTTTTTAATTTATCGTGATGTCTCAACACGGAGATGACCATCACTGAAAAAAATTCCCAGAGTACACGGAATTGTGTTCTCGTCTATTCACAGATAATTCACAGGAAAATCTACCATAACCTAGGAGCGGTCATAAGCTTTTACATAATCGGGTGCGGGAGTAAATTCAGCATAGCTGAGATCAACCGACTATTTGCTGGATCATTAAGCTTTAATTTTCCATTTACCGTTTTCTATGTACAGATTTGTTCCACAGAGTTCCCAAAAATGCAGCAGTGAGATCAGCTCGAATATTAAATAATTAGGTGCAACCTACCGGAAGAGAGGTGGCGGTGCTGTAAACTGTGACCAAAGCAGACTTGCAAACCAACAAGCGTTTTCCATCGTTTGAAAACGCAGGCTGGTAGCGCACTAAGCTGGCACCACCTCTGATCACCATTTCGTCAACCGTTCCCGTCAATCACACATCTGCAATCCCAAACCCTCGGCCTTTTCCGAAATTCACATCTACTGAAGTTTCATCCCAATCCCCCCTCCCAATTCTGCCCGACGGATACGTCACACGACTCCGAATTCACTCTCCCATCAGTCTTTCCTCGTGAGGGTTCAACAAGGGTTTAGGCCAACTCCACGGGAACTTCAACCCTAACCCTAATACGTCCAACTCCCGTCTCTATGTTTCCAGTTTCTGTCTGATCGCGTGCATTGTGCAGAAGCCCTGCTTGCACTCTCTGCTCCGTATTTGAGAATTGGCCTACTTTGGCTGCTGCCCCAGCTGTGCTTCATGTTCTCCTCTTAATTACGAGCTGCGGAGGCAATAGCGCTGTACTCCCAGCAATTTTTGGGCACGACTAAGGAATCCACGACTACATATGATTGTAACCAGAGCGTGGCGATTGAAATATAGTAGTGCATTGGAAGGTAACAGGGTATCTGGAAACAAAATGTGAGCACCCTTTCTATTTAAGTTTGGAATAATCATTTCACGGGTTGTAATGTGGTTCTGGTCATCGCTGCTCTTCTGGATGTTGATCCGGATGTGGTACTCTGCTTTTGATATTTTACATATATTGTTGAGAGAGTTAGTTGGATATTTATCTGGTCGGCTTGTTCCTACTTCTCTTCTCTCCTCTCCTCTATAAGCATGAAATATATATTGTCCCTACTCAATGTGGTTGATGGTAGTGCGTTTCTAAAAGCTTCTTTGGTTATGCCAAGTCTTGTCTTCATCTCCACATGAGCTGATTGACATCACCCTTGAAACTTAACTACCTAGCTTCAAGAAGGAGTTGGGCATGCGGAGGTGTTAAAACTAAACCCATGTAGCATTCCTACTCACGACGTATCGAAGAGAAATGTACAATATATTTAAAACAATCCTACATTGTCTTATAGAAAATTTACAGTATTTTTACTTGCTTGGAATATAATACTTGAATAAGATATCTTTTCTTCCTCACAATTTGTTACATGAGGGTTGTCATTGTTATATACGAGGGCTCTTGAGAGCTGCCCGTGACTCATTTGAATTTAATTAGTAAAATAACGGGTGTGCAGATGCAGCACGAATTTTCAGTGTCGAATTTTTTTACTATTTATTCATGTTTTGGAATTAAGGTTTATACTTCACCTGCAACGTCAGTAATTTGAGACTTGCAATATTTGAAAATGTGTGATGGTTGGACTTGCTTTGGAATTTTGCATAATAATAGCGTTGGTGTCTGTAAAAGAGTAATTGCGTAAGATTTTACTCTTTGCTCAAAACATTAAAACAATTGAATATTGTTATGTTGAACATGGAATGTTGTAAATTCACATTGTGATCTTGTAAGTTACATCTAGTATCAAATCAAATAATAAAATCAAAATTATGCATTTGCGTTATATATCACTTTTTTAAGAATATACAACAGACAAAGATTAAAGAACATATTCCATCCAAATATAGAATTGAGTGAAATACTTTTTGCTATCTTTTGAAATGATTGTGTTACTATGTATTTATTGCTAGTAACAATCTTGTATTTTTACTCAAAACTAAAAGTAGAAAAAATAATCAAGAAACTCTACTTCATCACCACATTACTTGTAAGTACAAGCTCTCTCTCTCTTTCTCGATAAGTTCTCTAATACAAATGAACAAGAAGTTCCAAGATGAGATTTAGTATGATAACTAACTACATCGATATATACTAAACTAACCATAATTAGCCCAAGGCATGAGTTAAACCCTAACAATCCCCTTGTCTCATGTCTTGAGGTTTCATATTTCCACTAAAAATATGTTATACCTATGGACAATTTTTAAAATATATCTAAAACATAGATCGTAATGTAAACAAAGATCAACTAAAACTAAGCCGAAACCTATAAAGAAAAGAGTAAGACATGTATAGAAACAAACTATGTATTGGGTATACCTTGTGCTACCTAACTATGCAAAACTTGCACCTTAACACAATGCTTATGAAAAGTTTCCAAATGAATCACTTTGGTAAAAACATTAGCCTAATTGGAGTGCAGTCAATCTTAGCAAGCTAAATCATCTCTTTTAGCATTGTTTGTGAAAAAATCGATATATCAGATGTCAATATGTTTCACTCTACTATCCATAACTATCTACTTGTTTAGTTGCAAGGTGAATGTCACTTTGACTATCAAAATGGAGACTATCAATATCTTATTTCAATCCCATCAACCTAATAAATATATTCAATCAAATTGACTACTTTGTAGCTTCTAGTGATGTTACTTGTTTTGCTTTTGTAGTTGATTGAGAAAGTCATATTTGCAAAGTAATCTCCAACAAATGCATCCAACCCTAACTGTGAAGACAAATACTATTTGTAAACTTTAGTCACACTAAAGCTTGTCCATAATCATTATCTACGTAGTCTATCAAGGATTTTTCATTGTGTAAATTAACATCAAACAATAAGCTAACATTCTTTGTAACTTTTAAGCTTTTTAAAAATTTAACTGCCTTTCAATGGACATTAACAAGATCGAACATGCAAATATTTACTTTGCTTTTAGCTAGACTCATTTGTGTTCTAGTAGAAATCATCAAGTACATAAGGATTCATATTGACTTATCATAAGAAATTTTAGTTATAGCTAATTTATCCTCATCAGTAATAGGACATTGAGCATTAAAAATTTGGAATGAGTTGCCAATGGAAGGCTATGTAATAGGACATCGAGCATCATAAATTTGGAATGATTTGCCAATCGAACTTTGCATTTGTCATATTGAATCTTGCAAGCATCCGTTCCCTGTATTTGGTTTGATCCAACCAAAGATTTTAAATTAACCTTAGTTAAGATAAGAGTTAGAAAATATGCTGTCATGTAAATATACATTAGTATGAGTCACAACTCACATTTAGCATTATGTAAGTTTTAAAGTAAAATTATTGTTGTTACTGTGGATGTATCCTAGAGTCTCTAATCATATATATTTTTTCTCTATAGCATGTTTGTGATTTTTTCTATTCGTGAAAATTTGTATTTTTGTTCTTGTAGTTGACTACAAAATGGGTAGCTCTATGAAGCTCACGTTGAAGCTTTTGGGTAGAGAGCTGGGTTCTGATTTTCAACTTAGGATTCTCCGGGGGCTAGACTCTAAACGCTGCATGCTGAATCCAACGGAGACGAGGGATAGAGCTTTCTGATTTCTGATTTTCATGTTTATCGTCATAAGAGTTACTCAACACCAAAGTTAAAGTGGAGAAAGGTGATTTTGCAGCTCGATTTTCACTGGTTAATAAATGTGGAGGATGTCCGCCTTGGGTTGCTTATGGCGCTACCGCCATGGTAATTTGGGTAAAGGAAAGGCAGAATATCGATCCGTTCTTGCTGTAGGTAATATCGTGAAGTTGGACAGTGTTGGTTACCTATTGCTCACCTCAGGCAGGGTTTGAGTTCCTCCACACTTAATATTAGAAATTGTCGTAATCATAATTCTTGCCATTGCCATGAAGGTTATGTTTCTGATGATTAGAACGTGACATTTAGGAGTTCAATGAACTTAGGTACATTATCATGCACATGATTTCATGATCATGATGATGCGGATTTCTTACTAAATTTCATATGAGCAAGTTAATGTTTCTTAGTCGTCTTGCCCGAGAACGTGTGTTGGTGTTCAGAGCTGCTTTTCTAGCAAGCAACATGATTACTTCCGCTTCTGGCTGCTCGTGTTTCTATCCCTGCTTTTAGATGATCATTGGATCGAACTATGAATATTAGCTTCGAGTTTGTGGGTGTTATCGAAGTTCTATTACTGGCTGTGCTAAGATGTCAATAAGGCTAGCATTCATCCATACTCCGAAGTAATGTTTTGATATAATCTTTTACCAGGATTTTTGACAAGGATAACAAGACTTTCCTTCTTGCTTGGCCGTCATAATGCTCTCTAATAATTGAGTACATTTGGCTACTATTTTCCTGCATTATAAACAATTTATAGAGATAAAGAAACTGAGTTTTTTCCCTTCAGTCTAGCAACTCAAGGGAAAAAAGGAGACGTTGTTAATGTTTCCGAGGTTAGTTTAGTGCAGAGAATAAGGCAGTCTATTTTGTTGAGAGCATTAATTTATGAGATAATTATGAAACGCAAAACATTTGTTAGGACCGAACACGATTCATTTGAAGGTATGGAATCCTAGTTTTCGTAACTCGATAATTAACGACTATAGTGTGGGAGGAGTAACTGCCCATATTGGACCAATGTACTCTCAAGGAAACACTTCGGACATGCGGCTTAGATGTTCTCGTGAAAACACTTGTGGTCGAATGAGAAAACACACATTGAAGCAAAACAAAAAAACTAGTCTACAAGGAAGGTAAAAATTTGCATTGCGTGAAAATCAATACATTTTGGGCCACTTATAAAAGGTCAATCAACCATGCCAAAAGCTCATACTGCTTGTAATCCGTGTGTAATTATAAATGAAAATACTAAAAATGCATCAAATCAGCGACACATTCAGAGCAAGCCCATGACAAGTAGTTTTACAATACTTACTATCCATCATGTTTTTGTCCTCTCCATCATATTTTTGGAGTCAATTTCTAATTGTAACAAAATGGAATTCAGAATAGCCAGCCGGTAATAAAAATTGTCACGCACAACTTGACGTTGAGAAACTAAAGCTGAAGTTGCACTCTTTGTCTCTTCTCGCTTCTCATTGTCGTTTTGATCGTTGGAGTAGCTCGAACTCTGCTACCATGACGAGCTCGTGTATATATAAGATGGCGAGTTTGTAGATTTTTTTGTAAAATTTGGTTGTTTTCGTGAACGTGGTACAAATGAAAATTAATGGAAACACGTAAATCAAAATAATCTGTACAAAGAATGAAAGTGATACACCTGCCACCTACAAAGCTAGCACATCTCTCAACTTCCTCATATTTCAAAGCTATAAAAACCAAGAAGAGGTTTGTTGTGGTTTTTGTATGCACAATGAATGGGAGAGTAAAAGAAAACATAAAAAGATTAAGGCCAGGAACTCCGAAACGTCAAAAACCGCCACTGGACAAAACCGAGAGACATGAGCAGGATCGAAACGAGGCTACAATGGCACTTGGCAGGCTCGGAGGCGCTATTTGTTAGAACTCCGGTATTTGATTGGATCGAGTGACGAGGTTCGGGCCGAGTTTGTCCGTGCGTCGGAAAAAGGTACGGGGCTGCAGAAGTCTTCATGTGGGACTTTTCTCAGTCAACGAAATTACGAGGAAAAGTTACGAGGAATTCGCATCTCTAGGCTCCAAAATACCTTCTCCATTCACGCCTCTAGACAGAAACCGGTGGAGGTTTCGGTAAACCCCATCAATTTGGTCATTCATCCAATTTCTCCACTTCATACTGCGGTTTTCTGGGGCTGTGGTCGTTTTACGGTGTCTCAGTCGCAGATTTAGGAGCGCCAGCAATAGAGGAAGCAAAGGCATAAGCAGGAGGGGGAAAGAGAAGAGAAATTGGTCATCGGATAAACAACTTCGAAACATAGATCTCATTGACAAACAGTGGATTTGGAAGTTGGGGCCCAGCTGGATCCGAGTGTGGGCAATGTGGCAAGCATTGCCCACGGATGGATTGTGGAATATGAATAAAGCTTTGGGGTGGGGATTTTAGGCAGATTGAATGACCTGATAACCGTGGACAGGAGTAAATTGTTTGAGAATTGGTGCCGATTCGAATCGCTGGAAATGAAGTGAGGCAGGGAAGGAGAAGGGATTTCAGAGAAGGTGAGGAGTAGAAGGTAGAGATCATGGCCAGCCTTTCAGATTTTCAGTTTCTGAGAGGCTGTAGAATGACGTTCGCTGTAGTTGTGCTGGCGCTGCTGGTGTTGGCGATGGTTGCTGAAGGAAGCACCCATCAGTCGAAGAATGTGAACGTAGCAGTGCGTGCAAAGTGGACTGGTACTTCTCTTCTGCTGGAGGCGAGGTGGGTGCATTACATTCCAAGTATGGAGTCTGTGTTACAAAATTCCGCGGATGAAGTACTTTCCAACTGGAGTGCACTAAAATATGGTGCCATATGGCCTGCTGATCTCATGGACTAAAAGTATATGTGCAAGTCGGCAATACTGAACAGAGATCTGTCTGATACTTGAACATACGTTAAACCCAAATCTATATCTGAGTCGCGTGTGAGAGAGATTCTCCCCTAAGCTCAATTTCGGGATTTTTTCTACTTTATCCCTGATCCAGCTCATTTGCCCGTTCACTTTCAATCGGCTCATTTAGTCTGGTCTCAGTAGAGCAGTGTTAATATGAAAGTATAATGCAGTTTTGCTGCTACAACTTTTATTACATTCTAATGAATGAATTTTTATTGCAATGCCACCTCTCATTCTTGTATGAGATCTCTGCAGTTGTTTGTGCAATCTCATCTAATCTTACAATGCTTACAGTGAGCTCGTGGCGAAAGAAGGAGATCCACAGTTTTGGAGGTTCGTTGAAGGATGGATGAGGGACGCTGAACCTGCTGAACTTTCGGATGAGGAATGCGTCCATAAAATTGTGAAGGAAGGAACCGAAATCGTGGGAAGTTCATTGGCACCTCTCTTCCAATTTTCTTTGTCACTACGTTCTGCCTCTCCCAAGATTGTTCTGTATCGCCAGCTTGCTCAACAATCAATTTCAGAACATTTCTCGATGAGGGCGAATACGAACAACGATGGTCTTGACAAAGTGGATCAGTGGTCTGTCAGTGAGAATCCAATAGCACCCGAGGGTCAATGCTGTTGGGTTGAAGTAGGTTCTCACGTTCTTCTGGGAGAATCTGAGCTTAAAAAATGGTTACAATTTACCCAGGACCGGTAAGCGTTTGTATCAGTACCACGCTTCCTTTCTGAAAACCTTAATTCTTTGAAAAAGGTTTTGCTATCATCGCGGCTTTAAGTAAAGGTTATCTAGCTGCTAGCAGAACAATATCTGCTTTGGTATATTATTGATTGTACACGAAACTTGTGAATCAATGAACCAAACCGATAATTAAATGCTGCAATCACTATCGTGTCATTCATAAAGTGATTCTAGGTGGAAAGGTATAAGTACATTTCTGCTTGTCATAGTCTTTCTTCTTTCTGTGGCGCTATTTGAACTAATGTGCCTTCTCGTATCTAGGTCTCATGCTGAAGAAGACGAAGTTGAGGTGTATGATTTTGATCACGTTTATCCAGGGTCTGAAGGTGGGCTCTTTGTGGCCATTCTCTACGGTGCACTCGGAACGTCTTGTTTTAGGACCTCTCACTCTCTGCTCAGTGAGTCTTCGAAAATGGTAGGTCAAAGCTTCTGCAGTGTAACTTGGAAGCAGTACATTATCAGTTTGTTGACAAGTGGTTATTTTTGTCACCAGATTTGAGTTTAAATTTTTCGTTTGAATGTTTCTGTTTTGCTTTCGTTCTTGCAAATCTGGAAGAATTTGCATCAAAGTATGTTCACATCTTTTAAAAACGAGAAGTATGCTCAGAAGTCTTACCTTCCAAAAGTATTTGATGCTCATCCCTAAACTTTAATCAGGGCCATGTGAAATACATCTATCGACCAGTTCTTCCGTCTAATTGTGCATCGTCAGTCGAAAGCTGCGCACAAGTTGGAGCAGGCAGTACACTTTATCTAGGTGGTTATGGAGTGGAACTAGCGCTTAAAAATATGGAGTACAAAGCCATTGATGACAGTGAAGAAAAGAAAGGTGAAATGAGAACTGTTTCTATGAGTTCATATTAGCCAGAGTCTCAACATGCTCTACTGAAAATACTGGTTTACTGGTACTTATACTCCAGTTCAATGAAGTCATTATCTTCATGTGCCCACTCTTTTAGCTAGTGTAGATCCTGCTAGTTTGTCTGTTTGAGTCTTTTCTGAGGGATCTGGAATTTGTGATTTCCTTGGACAGAGCTCGCCAAGCACTTATTTTCTCGACACATAACTAGTACTTCATCTGGAGCGACGTTATGGGGCTCATATACAATTGTGTCGTTGAACGGATGCAGGTGATGATTCAGATAATTCTCAAGCGCAAGCAGAGGATCTTAGTCAGGAGGTAATTCTTCTCTTTAAATCTGTGGTATGAGTGCATAATTGTGATATAACATATCTGTGAATGGCGAATTCATGATGATGTGATCATCTGTCCAAGCGCTAGCTCACGTTTCTTTGTGGTCCACCAGGAACGAAAAGTAGAAGAAGATGGAGAAGTTATGACCTTCAGAGATAATTTACTTTCTTCAGAAATTGTCGACAAAATCAATGTCGGGGAACTGAAAGGTTAGCTGCTAGTTCTTCCATTTAGTCCTGTGTCAGCAGCTGGCAACTCACCCTAGTGCATGTTTCTAAATTTATTTGGTGATCTAAGTACTTTATTTGATGATCTAAGTTGTCAGTTTTTCTCGACCGCAAATTCATAGTTGTTGTAATAATCTAGAGATATGGATGTCACTACCTTGTGTATTCAATGTCATATAAGAGTCAGGAATATTGGAGATCGTGACAAGAGGGTCATACTGTAGGTGTTTTATTTACTGAAATCTCGAATTCAAAATCTTCAAGTTCTGAATGTTCAAAATAGTTTTTGTTTGCTAGAGGTACTTTTAACAGTCTCTCAAGATAGGTCATCGTGGTATATGCGAGTATTATAGGGAATTAAATAGCTCATCCGAACGGCTAGCTATTTAATACCAAAGCAGTCCGGTCTTGAGTTGGGTATCTACAGAGGACAGTGTTCTTAGGAGGATATAAAAAGAGATTTACCTGGTGAAAAATTGTCTCACTTTGATCCTTATATTGATAAACAATTATCCATCCATTAATATTTTCTCGCTTGTAATACCGTGGTTGGTCAGATTTGGGTTATTTGACTGTTCAGCGGATTATCCACTCTTCTGAACCTTTACGCTTGATGCAAGAAATCAATCAGAACTTTCCAAAGTTGGTGTCTTCTCTTTGTCGCATGCAGGTGAATTCTCACCCCTTGCTAAACAAGTTTTCAGTTCAGACGATTGTTCTTACTGAAATTAGGCTTGTTTGAGTTATTCGCTATCCAGCCTGGAGGATACTGATTGAAATTTGTGTCGCAGTTGAATGATACTGTCAAAGAGGAAATAGCGAACAATCAACGAAGGGTCCCCCCCGGAAAGAATTTGTTTGCGATTAATGGCGCTCTCGTGAATCCTGATACGCTTGATATTTTCTCGTAAGTACAAGATGTTTTGGCTCTTATAATTGCTTAATCTAAGCTAAGCTAGTAAGGTTCAGTGTTTGACAAATCGTCTCCTGTTTTCTAGTCATCTGTATACAGTCAAAAGTTTGTGGGATATGCACTGTGAAGGTTGTTGGAGCTCGTCGAAGGGGAGTTGTCAGTTGCTGGGAAGATAGACCAAGTGAAGGTACATAGTTTTTCTATCTATCTCGATTTTGCCTGATATAATGATATAAGTTCCATCAGGTTTAGGCCCTGGTTCGCCTTCACTGGTTATTCCTTGCGTTGATAACAATCAAACCGAGTAGCTCAGATCCAAAAGATGTCGTCTACGATACCTTTGATAATAAAAGTCGGAATCTAACCACTCTCTGTGAATCCTTGCCGGACTGTTCCATTATGCATTGATGGATTTTGGGCTTAATCGCAGGTCCCTCCCAATTACATCAGGAAACTTCTGCGATTAACTGATCCTCGGGAATCAAGTGCTTTTCGATTGGACTTCCGTTCTGAGCACGTCCACTATATGAATAATATAGAGGAGGATTCTATGTACAAGCGCTGGCGTCCCAACTTAAATGAGGTAACTTTCTTGGAATTCAAACCAGAATTTAGTAATTGCTCTTGAGAGGACGATACAGTGCATATGCTCCTAGCACTGAATCGTGTAATGTGGCTACTGTGAACAACGTCTCTCCTGATTTTATATCTTATGATTGCATATTCCGATTGGGTGACAGTAAGAGGTTCTGTAAAATCATGAGGAGGTCTGAACCACTTCATGATTTTGCAAGTAGCATATATCTCACGAGTCCCATGGTTTGGATGCAGATACTAATGCCAGCATACCCAGGACAAATGCGCTACATTAGGAAGAACTTGTACCACGCCGTGTACATCATTGATCCAGCCCTGCCCGTTGAGCTGAAGGTGCTTGGCACATCCCATCTATACTAGAACTTCAGTTTTGCTTTCTCTAGCCACATTTTGAGAAGATATATACTGTGAACATGAGTTGAATGAATATGACTGACGAATATCAAACTCAAGAAACTGGATTCTGATCGGATAGGCCTAGTTTTCTGTGTGTGCTTGAACAGCTGAGCGCGAGGCTCATCTTCTTCAGGCTATCACAGAGAAGAACTTAGTAGTACACTTATTTGTTGTTTTCGCTTCTGACATGCCAGTGTATGAACAGTTAAATGTATGTCCTAAAGAATGTGCAAAACGTCGGCAGGTTCATGGCCGTCAGATTTCTCATAGGATATTATTGGAAAACAGAGAGTTTGATTGAAATAAGTTTTTGTCTGTTCTTTCAATGGCTTCTTGATTGTTTCTTTCCTGAATGTTCTTTTACTGATTGTACTGCACTGCTAGATGAATGAGTTACAGATTGACAATTGTTCAAGTGCCTGAGACGTACTCAAAGATTTGATTTGAACATGCAGCTGTTGGAAACGATGACGTATTACGTTCAGAACAGTGTACCTATGCGATTTGGTGTCATTTTCATGTCATCGAAGAAAATAAAAGCGATTGAGTCTCATGGTGGTGACATAGCTGCTACTCTGGAAACAACCGGAGAAGAGGACGTCTCTGAATTGGTGAGACCTTGACTAAGAGCGGATACAGACGGTAATGCGCCTGAGAGGCGCATTACCGTCTAAATGGTTCATGATCGTGCATGCATGTTCCACCTCAGTAAACTTTTGTGGTGTACTTAGGAGAGGCAGTGTTTTGTCTTCTAAGTCTGTCTATGATCAAGAAAGAGTACGTCACCTTGGTGAGCAGTTTCTTACTCCATAATGCTTCCGTGCAGATCATTCGTCTTTTCCATTATTTCAAGGAGAATATGGACTTACAAACCGCATTTGGGTTTCTCAACCTGGTACGCCTTTCCACAACTAGCTTTCGTTAATAGATATTGGTCGTTTATATTTTAGGAGCTAAGCATGAGAAAAAGAAACTAAGCTACTGAAGAAAATCTTCTTTGAGCTTCATTGTTTTGAAAGTTGAGTGTTGCGTTTACATTTCTCTCTACGTCAGGTCAATGAAGAATTAGATGGAAGTGGAGAAGTAGACGAAGAACCTTTTCAAGCTTCAGTGGCAGAAAATATTTTCCTTGACATTTTGAGGTATGTCTTCAACAAGGCGCGTTAAAGTTGACTATCTGTTCGGAATCATCTAAATTTTTAACTGCTGGATAACGGACAAGCAGGCCATTATTTACCTGGAGCAATTTTTTCACTCATAGTGCCAGTCGTTTCTATGCAAGGCCGTTGTTGTAATCCTTGAGAAGCTGTTTTCATGCTTTGTAATGCAGAGAGAAGGGAAAATCCACTGGTCCAACCATTTTACAGAACTTAAAAGAAGGAAATGAATTCAAAGAGAAGGCGCTAGAAAGCTCCGCATTTGCATACAGATTAGGCCTTTCTCCAATGCATCCTTGCATGTTGATGAACGGTTTGTTTTACGGACCAAGCCAGGTACAGCACTTCACGTCTGAACACTTTGTTTTGCATAGTCCTTTATGGATGATGTATTAAAGAAATGATGCAAAAATTCAAACTCGAAAGGTGTAATTACAGGGTATCCTCATCGACTTGAATGTTCGTGGTCATGTGATTTCTATTTTGTGAAGCTGTGTACGTTTGGAAAAATTACCATCCTTTATTGACGTCACGAGCTAATTATTATTCGTCTCTGGTAGGTGCAAAATGCCGCGATCGCAGCTATGAATGAGGAAATGCCAAGAATTCAAGAAGCGGTATACTACGGACGGATTAATGCTCGAACCGACGTTCTGGATAAAATGCTCTCCGAGGGTGGTCAGCCTCGGTATAATCCTCAGGTAACAACTTTCGCTTATCTTGGTTGCAGATGAATTACGTGTTCTGTCGAGACTAAGACTATATAAAACGAGTTTTGTGTTGGTCTTTACTTTACAGATTGTCAGTTCAAGGAGAGATGATCGTCGTTATGTTTCGCTCTCTTCGCCTGTTGCTGAAGAAGATAAGGTTTTGACACGACTGCAATATCTGCATCACCCCGGAAGTAAACAATCATTTCCTTTCTTTTTCTTTCACCACTGGTGCAAACCAGAATCTATGCCAGCTTTACACATCGTTTAGCAATTTGTTGCTTGCTTGTCTTTTCGAAAGGAGATTTTTGGGTGAGGTTTAAGTTGACACTATGTGGCTCACAGGCGAAGATGATTTGAAACCTTTAACCCACTGGATATGCGTCGACCTGACTCAAAAGAGTGGTATCCATCTCCTTCAACAGGGACTCCGCTACCTTGTACGTTTCTTCGAAATTATCCATTTAGTCAGAAATTTCGTCACGCTGTTGTACGAGGAGTAGTATTTTCTGGAGAGGATGTTCCTAGCGGTGCAGTCACCTAAATGGATCAGTGTACTTTTGATAGGTGGGTTTTATAGTTGTCTCACCATTGAAGAAAATGAGAACAAAAATAAGTTTTGACAAGTCTGTTGACCGAAGTAACGTCATTGTTGTTTGTAAGGATTGTAGTTTCTTGTGATCTGCGTATCTCAGTGTTCATGAAAATTGTCTAGGCCGTCCAAGGTAATGTGGGCGAGCCATTCAAATCCTTGGTGTATTTTTGAGATTGCAGATGGAAGGAGCCGAGAAGGGAAGAATTGGAGTCTTACATAATTTGGAAAGCCGTGATTTCTCCGGTTCATATTCTTTGTTGATTCAAGTCGTTACTACCGTGGCGAACAGTCCCAGGTAATTGGAGTATTTGAAGGCTGGTATGTCGACCCCATGATTTTCACGTTTAGTAAAGTATATTTGGTTGTTGTGAAATACACGGGTTATCCACCAACTCAAGAACAGCGTAAAGGATCATCCTGACCCAGAGTACAGTCGACGGGCGAAGGTGGTGCCCTTTTTGCAGAAATTGCTCGGAAATGAAGAATTTATTGGTGCTAGCCTCGGGGACTCTGATGCAACCTTGGAAAAGAAGTACGTCAAATTGGTTCTGGATTTAGCTGACGAAATGGGGCTTAAAAGAGATTATCTAGAAGATGCTCTTCTGGAGCCTGTACGCAAACAAGCCGTTCTCGAGCAAATTCATGAGGTAGGCTTAAACCATGAGCTCCTTACAGATGCAGATGCTTTTTTTCTGATTGAATATTATCTTGTTCTGTATTTGATGACATCGATGCAGTCCTAAGGTTTGATATTGCTGGGTTGTGTTAGGAACGGGTTTTCGTGGCTCGAGCTGTGGGTCTGAAAGCGGGCGCGATGGCAGTGGTCACAAATGGAAGGGTGAGACATCCTCTTACTTTGTCTCACCAGTCATATTCAAGTCCGACTTGGCATGTTGGTTGAAGCCAGAAACGAAGCTTACCATGAAGGCCTCTTTTACAGGTTTATGATCAACAAGAAGGTAGTCACTTCGTGGCTGAGGACTTCGCTCTTCTTGACTCTGTCGAATATGAACGTCGAATAAAACCTGTTGAAGAAATCATTCAGGAAATTGAATGGACGAATGTTGAGCCCGATGAACTGACGAGGTTTGTAGTGTCTACCACTTTACTGAACTTTGACAAGAAACTACTTTTGTATAAAATACTTTCTGCTTCTCATCTTTGACGTTGCTTCGTAGACTGGAGCAAGGATGCAAGACATTTAGTCGTGCTAGGCTCATTATAAAGTCTTACGTTCCGATGAAATTGAACTTTACAGTGAATTCCTGAGTACCAAAATCATGGCCGTGTCATCTTCCATGGCATCTCGCTCACGCGGAGGCGATTCAGCTAACTTTGAAATGCTGAGAGCTGAACACAGGTATGAAGTCGAATTATATGTGGACAGTGTATCTGCTCTTTGTCAACGGACATTACGTGAGTTCAAGGTTGTACATCTATTGTAATGTAGGAACAGTTCAAGCTTACATCCGTATGTGTATTTGACGTTTTGTTCATTTGACAGTGCTATCGTTCGAGAGGTAGATGGTGCGTACATTCACGTGGACGCTGTGATTGATCCACTGAGTGTCACTGGCCAAAAGTTAACTCCCCTACTAGTCCTGCTTGAGGACTGGCTGAAGCCCAGTTTCCGAATTGTGTTTAACCCGATGGTGAGGACTCCTAGGCTTTAAACAAACTATGAAGAGTCAATGTTGTTGTTGATTAGCGTATCCACAAGACAATTATCGAGTTTGATAAGTCGGAGTCCCATATTTCGGTGTATTAGCTGTTGAAGCAGTTTCTGGTATAGACCTGTTAAATCTTATTGAATTGATTGACTTCATCTGCGCAGAACGCAATAACTGATCTACCCTTGAAGAACTTCTACCGATACGTAGTTCCCTCAAAGGTCAGCCATTTGCCATGATCATGTGAAAGGAAAACAGAGAAGCAGCTTTTCTTTCATATGTTCACTTCGACGTTTTTCATTTAACCGTTAACATGTTCCGAGTGAAAATTACTGGTAAGGAAAGATTTTGGCGGTAGCCTCGAGAAGCAACAAATACTTGTTCCAGTTAAAAGAATTGTAGATCAGACAATATCTGAGCTAGTCTGTAGTAAGAAGTGACGTATATGCGGCACCACTATATATCCCGTTCCTTTTCTTTCGTGAGCTGATTTCAACTTCGGAGACTATGATGTACATATGGTGGTCCAGTTTCCTACTTCCTAGACTCTTTTTTACTGATGATCAGTGAAATGTGATGGTGTGATGAACCTTGCAGAATGTATTCAGCTCAGATGGAGTTCTTTCTCCAGGTCCTGTTGGGGTCTTTACCAACTTGCCGCCTTCTCGCACGCTAACAATGAACCTCGACGTTCCAGAATCGTGGTTGGTCGAGCCAGTGGTAGCAGTGTAAGTGTATCCAGCGCGGTCAAAAGCTGATCCTAGTGGTCGTAAGGACGATGTTGGTAGAGATCCAAATAAGCGTCAGATTATCACGAAAGATGTTAGAGTTCACATGATAAGTATTCTGTAGACTTGAGATTTTAGTTCAATTGACAAACTAGAGGACAGAAGACCAATTCAAGTCACCTCTGGTCGTAGCTGTGTCTCTGTGTCCATATAGTTTTTGTCCAAGTGTGATTAGTGTTATGGACGATGATGATAGTCAGACTAATTGTTTCTCTGCTCAACAGCCATGATCTCGACAACATTGTGTTGGAAAAGCTTAAGAACGAACGCACCATGTCTGCTGTCTACGAACTGGAAGCTCTGGTTGCAACTGGTATAAGCTGTGAACTCTCAACACTGCAATCCGTTTCTCATCTGCAACTGAAGAGATTGAGGCATTACACTGAAACTTGCCTTACTAATTTGGCTCAATGAATCTGCAGGACACTGCTACGAGAAAGATGGCGACCCACCACGTGGTCTTCAATTGCTCTTGGGAACAAAACTTCATTCGCATCTAGTGGACACAATTGTCATGGCCAACTTAGGATACTGGCAGATGAAGGCAGCACCTGGTGTCTGGACCCTTCAACTTGCCCCCGGCCGCTCAACAGAACTTTACACGCTGGAGGGTCCCGGCGAGGGCACAGACGCCGGCTTGATAACAAAACGTGTAGTGGTACAAGACCTCAAAGGAAAGTTAGTGCGCTTTGAAGTCGTCAAGAGACACGGCAAAGAAGACCAGCAAATGCTTGAAGTAAACGATGCAGAGGAGGACTTCGAAGAGATCAGTCCACGCAGAGTAAGTCACGTCTGTTAAAGCTGGCTCCTTCCTTCTCAAAGCATGATGAGAGTACACCGAAAATCTTAGCTCATGTACGCGGAAAACAGTAAATAGTATATGAAAACTGCTCGCTATTTCGTCGCTTACCTGCTTCTCAAGCGGGTAACTTATATCTTGAATGACTAAATATTGTGGCACTTCTGTACTATTCTAGGAATATTGTCGCCTTAGTAGATTATAAGGTGGAGGGTCCTTGTCTCTGAATCTTTTGCAGCAGGAAAAGAAAAAGGAAGGCAAAGGATTTTTGAAGTGGGCATCTGACTTTCTAGTTGGAGGGGGCCATTCCGGAGAAAACCGCAATGTGCTCAATTCTGTGAGTAACCCCGTGTACTGCTTGCGAATAATTTATTCCCATATTTAACGTGATTCTTATTGAGTGTGTACTTTCGTGTAGAATAGTGTCTTCATATTTTAAGTTTATCATCTGTATCCAGGTTGCGGGAGGTGGGCAGTCACAACTTAGAAGAGGAGAGACCATCAATATCTTCTCCATTGCGTCAGGACATCTGTACGGAGTTCTTTTCGCCTTTTTACGCTCTTATTCGTTCTAATAACCGTGTGGCTGCTGCGAAGGAGCTGTCATGGTCCTCCTGCCCACAAGCACATGCCAACTCAACAGCTATGATTTGCTCAGATTGCGTGCTTTCAGATCTCAATAGCGTAGAATTCTACTTTCGTGGAAGGGAACCAATTTATCGAAATCTACGAGAAAATAAAGGAGAGCAAGGCAGAAGAGATGATCAATTTTCAAAAATACATCAATAATAATAAGAAAAAAATCCGCTAGCAGCAGGTGTACATAATTAATGTGCTTTCGCTTGCTGTGCTTGTAGGTATGAGCGTTTCTTGAAAATTATGATGCTCAGTGTCATCAAGAACACAAATCGACCTGTTAAGTTCTGGTTCATAAAAAATTACCTTTCTCCCCAATTTAAGGTACGTATATATCGTGACTTCTCGTGATTTTGTTTCGGGGATTTATTTCTACTCTCGAACATCCGTTTTCCTGTTTGAATATGTTCAGGTTGTCCAAACCTTTAACATGTAACTAGATCTACTAAAGCGCACGTACAAAATTCATGAGTACAAAATAAATATGAAGGAGAATGAACTATTCCTGGTAACTGGGAATAACCATGGAATGTCGCACACCATGGAGTTTCAAGAAACTAGTAAAGTTGTCCGTTTATAATGGTCTAGTTTTTGTCTTCTATCTGATTTGTTGGTGACATTTGTGATAGGATGTGATACCGCATATGGCCAAGGAGTACGGTTTTGAGTACGATCTTGTCACCTATAAATGGCCTACGTGGCTCCACAAACAGACCGAGAAGCAACGCATTATTTGGGCATACAAAATTCTGTTTTTGGACGTCATTTTTCCACTTTCTTTGAAAAAGGTGAGCCACTTAAGGCTTTTGGATATCAATGATTGCCCAAAGGTGCTGCTAGGCAAAGTGTTTTTTGATGGTCCGAGAATCCATTACCTGTTCAAATATAAGAAGACTACCAGGTTAGAGTAAGTCCTAATCTTCCGGTTTCCGATTGGCAGGTTATTTTTGTAGATGCAGATCAGATTGTACGGACAGATATGGGTGAATTATATGACATGGATATCAAGGGCCGACCCCTTGCATACACTCCTTTCTGTGACAACAACAGAGAAATGGATGGTTATCGGTTCTGGAATCAGGTGAGTGTGGTCTTGTAAAATCGCATCCATTGACATGTGGTCCAAGTTGAAAGTTGGAGCTGTTTACTGTGAGCTCCTGACATGCTCTGTTTTCCTCCAATATTGTGCTTAATGAACGAAACAGGGTTTCTGGAAGGACCATCTCCGAGGAAGACCCTATCACATCAGGTATTCTACTTACTCGTCTAGTTCTCTTCAGAATTTGTATCTGTAGACCATATTTCCGAAACTATGGCTTGATGTGACGTCCACATGATAAGGTTTAGTATTTACCCGGAATAGAGATTCTCTGGATATCTTGCTGTGGTCGGGTGTGAGTGTATTCTTAGGTAGGATTGGACAAGAACGTTCACTTTGGCCAACATCAATTCTCTAGCTTAGAGGCTCATGGCTCAGTTCCTTGATTTGATTGGGATCTAAATTTGCCCCGATTTTTTTGGGTGTGAAAACAGTGCTCTTTACGTGGTGGATCTGGTGAAGTTCCGTCAATCTGCTGCTGGAGATAATCTGCGTGTGTTTTATGAGAGTTTGAGTAAGGATCCCAACAGTCTCTCCAATCTTGACCAGGTACGACCTAACTGCCACGTACATGCACTTATACGATCCTCGTCCGATAGTTCGGACTGATCAGAATTTTGTTTATGGCTAGAGGTCAATCCGATCCTTTTTATACAAACGTGTGACTTTTTCGGATCAATGACTTCATTGCTTACTCCCTCGCATAATATCTAGTAGAGGACGGAAAGTATATGAGAAAAACGTGGGTCCAAGATTCTTTTGGATATAGTCCTTTAAGCGATCTGCAAGCTTTAGTTTCTATCCGCGCCACCCGAATTACATGAATGGCTTTCTCGAGGTAGAACGGATGCATATTGCTCTGTGGGCTTGAGATGGTTTCATTGGCTGCCGTCGACAAGTGAGAATCGTTTGAACTCATGAGCTTACTATTTTTGATGCATCATCATCAGGATCTACCAAACTACGCTCAGCACACTGTTCCGATATTTTCACTCCCGCAACAATGGCTATGGTGTGAATCATGGTGTGGAAATGGCACCAAAGCCCAAGCTAAGACGATTGATCTATGCAACAACCCGCAAACTAAAGAGCCAAAATTGGAGGTGTGTTTTCTGTCATCACTTTTGACATTGTTGGGAAGTGTGTGAGGAGTGTCTGATGCTAAAGCGTACTTTTTAAATGTTTGTTCCCCTTGCACTTGTGCCAGCAGAGATGGCTGATGAATACCACCCTTTTACTGCTTGTAACATACTTCACACTTCGGCTCAAAACGACTCGGAACGGCTAAATATCTCGTCCCTAAGAAACAGCTCGACGAGTGGGAAAATTGATATCTGCAGTGTTCGATATCTTTGACAGGGTGCAAGACGGATAGTTGCGGAGTGGCCTGCACTTGATGAGGAAGCACGCCAGCTCACTGCAAGAATTCTCGGTGGAAAAGTTACGCAACACGTCTCCGATCAACATATCAAAAAGCAAGTGCCACAAAGTCTTGACAGCGGAGTAGTAGAAGAAGAGTCGAACTTTGTAGACTTGGAATCGAAGTCAGAACTGTAGATCGCGGTCAGTTACAAATGACAAAATTTTGCCTCAGAAATCATTTCGTCCCCTAGCTCTCTAATTTTTGGAAAGCTCCTTCCGAATCATGAGTTGTCTGCTGTCAAACTTTTGGCTGGACTTTACGTCCAATTGGATGTGAATGCACACACTATCGGGCTGCTTTATTCCACTGCAATGTCGTCCTTCTTTTGCAGTCGGGCCTTGAACTGAAACCCTCGGGAATTCACATTTTCTCTGCGCATGACTCCTGCCCATATCTCTTGTCTCGAAGAATCGTTAAAAATTAAGTTACAAACTATGTATTTCGATTCACACGACAACGATCGTCAAGTTTGAAATTAAAAAACAAAGAGCATGTCAATATGTCTCTAGATAGTCTATCTACAACATCAATTATGTTCTTATATGCCTTGGGAGTTTTTGAGACATTCTGATGGTGAGGAGCAGAAATTAAATGTGTCTGTATTACAGATTGAAATTTATAACAATTATTCTCAATATCTGAGCAACAAGTTTCTGTGGTGTAGTTGGTTATCACGTCAGTCTAACACACTGAAGGTCTCCAGTTCGAACCTGGACGGAAACATGTTGCCTTTTGCCAAGTATTTCTGAAAAGTGTGTCCAGCAAGCTTTAGACTTCAGCATGATTAACACAATCAACATGACCAACGAGTCTGACATAAACTTGGTAAACTATGCTTTTTTTAAATGCTGAGATAGTGTAGGCCTCCATCACAGACCGGGTCGGAAACAAATGAATCGCGAATTCTATCACTTCCAAGAATGCCCTTTAATTCTACCTGGATGAACGTTACTAGCTTAGTGAACTTCTTCAGGACGACTTTCTTTTATTTCGTAAACTGGCACAACTGAATTTGATGATTACATTTCAGCAGTCGTCTCAATGACATATTTCGTTTGGTTTCCTTCAACATGGAAGTACAACAATTTATTTAGCAAAAGTTGGGAATGTTTCATCGTATCGAACATGGATGGATGAAACCCAAGTTTTACTACAACAAAACTAACCAGACACACCGAAACAGAAGCTATACACATTGCTGTGTCATTCCCAGCAGCATCACTTGATGTGATTACTCACTGAGGAGTGCAACGGCCATGTAAATACGTAAAATGTAATTTGAGTTTTAATCAACTCCAACAACAAGTTTTTGATAGTTAAACTTTATGACTATTTCAGAACTTATCAATATTCGATTTATTTAATATGAAAATTTAGAATTGAAGAAAATTTATGAAAATATTAATTATATGTTTGAATTCTCATTGATCAGACTACAAATTTATTGCTTTTGACATGTTATTTCAATAACACTTTTTAGATGATGATTCATTCAATACATTATAAAATCATTCGTGCAATGTGTTTATAACAATTTTAATAGATAATTTTAAATTTTATGATAGAGATACAATGACATATTTACAGTTTTTGAAGTTTTTTTAATATATATTTCATACAAATCTTTCAAAAAATATATTACTTTGTACAAGTATCTGATTTGTACATGATTATACATATACTTCTGAAGTAAACTTCATTATAAGAATTTTTCTAAAAGATATATAGAATATTTAATTTGATATTATATCAAATTAATTACATATTAATGTGGAAAATTATCATTTGATTAATCTGATATATTAATCAAAAAATTTAAATGGAATAAGTAATTTTAAAACTTATAAATCAAATTGAATGCATAAACATTAGAGAAGAAAAAATTTAAAGAAATTCAAAAATAAAGATTATTTTGATGAATGATAAATGATAAATAGTAAAAGACCAAGACCGAGTACCCAAATTGTCAAAAGGTTGAAAAAAAAAATACAAGCAAAAATCACAAACAATGGAAAAGACCCCAAAGATCAATTTCTAGCTAGTGCCAAGAGCACCATATTGATAACTAATAATGTTACTAATATAACAAACTTAATCAAAAGTAACTAGCTGTAATAAAGAATATAAATTCTCCACATCTATATTATGAGCAAGTCTAATGACTCAATACCTAATACAAGTAACAAATACATGCTCTTCATCCTCAATGTATTCACTGTTACATAACCTACAAATATGTTCATTCCTATCAATATTAAGCCAACGTACTTACTCAATTCCAAGACTATGAGATCCATTTCTATGTCTAGCAATGCTGATGATTGTAAAAAGATAAGAAGTTTTTTTTAGAAAAAAATTGGCTAAATATTCACAAATATAAATTTTTTTGAAGAATAAAAACTTGTAACATCATGGTTTTAAATAATTTTCTTACTTTTGATTTATGAAGTTTTTTAATTCAAACGGATTTTCATAAATAAAATCACTGATTATTTCTACATAATATATATAAGTTTTTTGAAGAACTTTTAATTTTGTAATTGAACAAGTAATAATTTTGCCACCTAACTCTAAATGCCTTATTAGTTTTCTTGTATTAACTTGTATATATGCAAAGTGTTTTTCTTTCAGATTATGAAATACTCTCGTCATTATTAATCTGTTAAAGTGTTGTAATTTCTTCTCCTCGCATTCAAACATGGACAATAATTAATTTTTTTGAAAATTCATAGATTATATATTTGGATATGATTCAATTCAAAGATAATTTGATTGAATAAATCAACAATATGATGATGTTTGACAATTTAATAACATTTTATTTTGAAACTGAAAAGTTTGCAAAGGTGTACAGAGTAAGATCTCCAATTTTTACACAATATATTTTCATCTTCATCCACTACAAATATGTAAAGTTAAATATAATAAGTAAAAAATTAAATATTCCTGCTTCTTAACATTTATGTAACATATGTTATTGAACATAGAGTATTTAGTTTCAACGTCTTATTTCTATATTTTTCTGTCTATATAATAATAATTTATAACATAAGTATGAATTATTATATAATATTTTTTATTTTGAACCTCAATAATTTTGCAAAAATGAACAGAACTGAAAAAACCTGAATTTCAATATTTCCAATATTATAATGAATATTTTTTCAAATTCATCTACTTTCAAATTGTAAGTTAAATTCAATATGAAATAATCAAAATATTCTTGATTCTTCATATTTTTGTAATATATGCTGTTGAAAATAAAAAAATTTAGCTCTAACATCAATTCCAAAACTAAGAACTAACTCTTAAGTTATAACTTGATGAAAGATTTTCATCATACTTATAGTGATACTTTCAGATTACGCAATTTCATTATTCATGGATACAACTTTGGATTGTTAAGTGTTCAATTTTTTCTTATCGTATTACATATATCTTTTTACCTTTGATTTTTTTCTATATGTATCTACAAGATAAATATATATATATTTATCTTGTAACTCATGTAACTCTTATCATTTGTTGCAATGTCTTTTCTGATGAATTTCAACATTTTTGTATTCATCATACGTGTTTTTCACATACAATATACTAGATCAAAAAGTTATTGTGTTTCAAATTCAAATCCTTATATCAGGTTCAACCAGGCTATAGTTACTATTTTGTATAACATAAATCATTATACTCATCAATCTTTTTCTTACATACAAACATCTTGAGTATTTTGTGAGCTTTTTGGTCTACCAATCAATTTCTAAAACTTTACAAAGTCTCGATCAAACACCTTACTTGAACTTTTGGAGCAGGTTCTGCACTTTAAAGAGTTGGTTTGTGTAGACTTAATTCTTGATTGATTTCATACATCAAGAAGGTGATAGCTAATAAAATTGGAATTTGTTGAAAAAATATTTTTTTTTCTAGCATAAACTTTATATGTGAGATAGGTTGAACTCAATCTCATTGATAATTACAAAATAAAATCATAATATGTCTTAAAAAAATTTCCAATTGAAAATAAAAGTTTTAGCTACTTTAGATTCTTTTTAATATTTATGTTTTTTTTAATACAATAACTATTAAAGATTTGAAAAACAAATGGTTACTCATATGATAATCTATAAACGCTTCTTAAGCTCTTAATAATCAATCTTAATGTACACTTATTTTTTCAGAATTTTATATCAAATCTAGTTTTAATTGCTTAATATTATCTTAAAAACATTTTATGTATTATGTGATTTTGATTTTTTAATTGGCCTTGCATGTTTTATGGAAGAAGTCTAAGGGCAATGGAAAAGCTTTGTTTTGCGCCTTTGTCGATTTTAAGAAAGCTTTTGACGCTGCATCTCGTGAGCTTTTATGGAAAAGGTTGCAAGCCATTGGAGTATCATCAGATTTTCTAGCAGTTGTGGCCATATTATACCATTCTGTTTGGGCCAAGATCAACATTTCTCAAATTGAAGAGGTTATGGATACCATTGAAATGAGTCAAGGTTGTTCTCTCTCTCCTACTCTATTTGGAGTTTTTATAGATAATATTCAAGAGGTTGGAGGCATGTGATAGTGAAGTTGTCAAGCTTGGAAACTTTGTTATCAAAGCTCTCTTGTATGCAGATGATATGATATTACTAGCACGCGAAACAATTAGTTTACAAAAACATCTATAACACTTTGGCTAGCTTTTGTATCTTGAATTAAATGGAGGTACATATGAATAAATCTAAAGTCATGATAGTGGGCACTAGATCCAAGTTCTCTTTCTATCACAAAGACCTACAATTAAAAGAGATGAAGAATTATAAATATCTAGGCATTGATTTTTTTAATGATTATAGTTGTACACTTTGCGTGCAAAAGAGTGTAGAAGTAGGTTACAAAGCTCTAGATTCATTGTTAAATCGGTGTAGAAGGATTCATCTAGTGGCTTGGAGTACTGGAAAGTTTTTATTCAAAAGCTTGGTGTTTCCAATAGTATTATATGAAATCCAAGTGTGGGATTCTAGTTGTAAGAAGACAAGTTAGAATCGTGTGAAGATGATGCAGAAGATATTTCTACAAGAAGAATTGGATGTGAGAAACCAAACTCCATATGCTATTTTTCTTGATGAAATAGGTATTTTACCGCTAGAGGCTGAAACTCTATACTTGACTATCATTTACTTAAGAAGGGTGAGATTACTAGATGCTTCTCGCCTTCCTCTTCAAGCTTTGTGTGCCGCACGTGCCAAAGGATGTTTAGCGGATGTGATAACTTGGTCTTTGAGATGAAATGTGGCGGAACGAGATTGGAACCTGCAACCTGTGCCACTACGCGAACGTTTAAAGTAGGAGTTTCTAAACATTATTTGGAGCAAGCGCGACACCAAGATGTAGTTTTATCAACTTTTTGTGAATCCTATGATTGATTATTGTGAACATGATTACCTACTTGCAGAAATCTCTACGTACTTAGGTTATATTATTGCTAGACATAGAACTGGACTTCATAGGCTTGAAATTAGATAAGGACGTTGGCTTAACATTGATAGTAGTGAACATATTTGTAGCTTATGTGACGGTGGGTACATTGAGGATAAAGAGCATGTATTTGTTACTTGTTGTAGGTATGAAGACTTGCTCATAATATATATGTGGAGATTTTCTATTCTTTATTACAGTGAATTACTTTTGATTTAGGTTGATATATTAGGGACATTGTTAGTTACCGTTCTAATGGTCTTGGCACTAGCTAGATATTGAACTTTGGGATTTATTTTCTTGTTTGTGGTTTTCGCTTAAATTGTGTTTTTCAGGCTTTTGACTTTGGTCACTCCTGGCTTGCTCTATTACCATTTACAACATACATTCTTTTGTCAATCTTTGCAGCATTTTAAGTCTTAATATGACATCATAATATGATTTTGACATCATTAAAATATATTTTGTATATATGTTGATTTTGAAAAATACATTATATTATTGCATCTTGATTGAAAAAAAATGCAAACAAATACATATTTTTCAAATAACATACTTCAAATTATTTGAGACTTTTTTCAATGAATCTTTCTTTCACTCCAGTGTTTTAAATTGAATAAAAATTAAATGAGTTTTAAAGCAATTTTTTCCTTTGAAAATCTAAAAATTGATTCAAAAGAATATATTAAAAGTTTTCTATCTTGATTATAAATAAAACACCTTATGCAAGCAAATAGAAGAACATATGAAGAAAAATTATCTTGCATGATCTGTTGCAAAAATTATACAATGGTATTGAAAAATTTGTACGAAATAAGCAAGATTGAAGAAATATGAATCATAAAAATGTATGATCATACAATTGCTAAGTGAAGTAATTAAATGATTTGATTGATCATAACTAAAATATTTTAGACTTATAAGAAAAATATAAAAGACTTATATGAATAATCAATTTTTTCAATTTTTCCTGAAGAAAAAACAAAATTTTCAATTTACATGAAAAAATAACTTTCGAAAAATGTTTTTTATCATAGTTATGAATATTTATTGATAAAATTTACATTATTTATATAATTTTTTATAATTTTTACAATAACATATATGGTGTTTAACTCAAGCACAATCACACATAAAATCAGCACAAGGATCAAAACAAAGAATTAATAATAGACAAAGATGATACATCAAGTATTACATCGTGAAGAATATCCCAGGTTTTATTGGAAATAAATCTTTAAAATTGTGACTTCAATCATATGTGATCGTTCTAATAAAATGAAATTCTATTGAGCTTAATTTTTTGAATCTAAAACAAAATAATTGAATTAAAGACCAAAATAATTCTTAACAATTTCACTTTAATTCATATACAGGGAATTGTAATATACAAAACTTAATTGCTAGTGAAACTTATTTGTGCTACTCATGCAAAAATTGTAAAATGAAACAATATAATTTTAATTAATGCATGAGGAGTATTTAGAATAATGTATATGTTGATTAGATGAACTTTTTTATGAAAGATTTAATTTCTGATAAATGATATTTGATGTTAATGTGATTTAATCTGTTATCAATCATTTGATTTGCAAAAAAAATTATTACAATGAAAATTGACAACTTTATGTTTCAATTTGATCCAATTAATCAAATTCAACCAAATAGTTTTTTTTCTTATTTTACTTCCCTTGTTGTGTGGTGCAATTTTACAAAGTATATCTCCACTTATAAATCCATCAACCAGTCTAATCTCAAATTCAATTCTAGAGTTTCATTTATTGAGATCTTATGCATAATACGTATCAACATAACATGGTAGAACATCTAACAAATTATTGAACAATCACCATAATTTATAATATTGATGAAATACATGAACATTCATTTCAAATATTGACAATACTTCTTCCCTATTCTCTTTGTTCATGGCTCAATCGAAACAATCTAATTTATATCACAAGATACATGATATTATATTTCTAGTCATAATGAATTAGTGATAACTAAAGATAAATTAAATTCAACTATTGAAATTTGTTATGAAAAAAATCCATACATTTGTGAAATGCATCATGTTGAGGGCCACACCCATTTTTGCTACGGCCACACCCGCCCGTTCAAAAGCGGCCTGGCCGTAGCAAAAACGGGTGTGGCCCTAGTCGTCCTCGGAGCTGGATGGGTGGACGATGACGTCACCCCTTGTAGCAGGAGGTCGCCGAACTCTCATCCGAGGAAAGATTTCTGGCCGATTTCGCATTCCTATGACACTCTCGATGTTCCATCTTCGTTTCCTGACACTAATGGCCTCGGAGCTGGATGGGTGGACGATGACGTCACCCATTGTAGCAGGAGGTCGCCGAACTCTCATCCGAGGAAAGATTTCTGGGACGATTTCGCATTCCTATGACACTCTCGATGTTCCATCTTCGTTTCCTGACACTAATGGCCTCGGAGCTGGATGGGTGGACGATGACGTCACCCATTGTAGCAGGAGGTCGCCGAACTCTCATCCGAGGAAAGATTTCTGGGACGATTTCGCATTCCTATGACACTCTCGATGTTCCATCTTCGTTTCCTGACACTAATGGCCTCGGAGCAGGATGGGTGGATGATGACGTCACCCATTGTAGCAGGAGGTCGCCAAAGTCTCATCCTGAGAAAGATTTTTGGGCCGATTTCGCATTCCCATGACACTCTTGATGTTCCATCTTCGTTTCCCGACACTAATGGCCACCGACAAGCATGGCATGGTAATGATTATTTAAGGTACATTTGGCTTTTTATTGGTATAGTTACAATATCTCTTTAAAATATATATTTCAATTTTCATACGAATATACATTAAAGGTATATTTTATTTATTTTAGTCATATATTGGTTCAAATATATTTCTCACATGAAATATAAAATATTATCGTTTACACTTTCCAAATTTACATATTGGCTAGATACTTTCGTCAACTAAAACTTCACTAGATGAAATATTTATTATTATCCCGATTAAAGTGTACAATAATTTCCATAATCTATCCATCTATTTTTTTTCCTCCAAACCAATAGGATATTTTGTATAAATCTAAATCTAAGAAATGCAATAATAGAGAAGTAATGCAAACGTCGGAAAATTCTAATCCACTCCTTTGAACGTTGTCAAATTTCGTGTGTGATGTAGAAACCAAACAATCATCAGGTTTAGATCTTGCTCTCCTGTTCAATGAATGTGACTGACAGCTTTGCCCTGCTCATTTCCCTTCACTATTACAATCACCAAGCGAATAGAGTATTTTTCAAAGTTTGCAACACTGCCTGACGTAGTGGTATCCTGTAGGAACCACACAATCAATGCTATTTCAAGTACTTGTTCACTGTTTTACTGCCGAAGTGTTTGTGGTGCTCAATGTGTGCCATTCACTCCTTGGCGACACATTCATGCTCTCCATCCCTCCTCTGATCCTCTTCCACTTCCCGTTCACCATTACATTTTTCACTTTTAGATCGTGGCATCCTAGCTTTAGAGAAGAATGCCGCTGTGAACATCACTCGCTGCGCCTCACTAGAGGCCTGCTCACATATAGAAAATTAAAACGAAACAGAGTTACAGACGATCCTAAGTATTCCGAAACTTGGTCAGGAAACGAAATCAGCTCGTTCGAGTTCCATCCCCCTATGAAAACCACCATATGGACAACGTTTTGTGCCCACATTCGAACTGAGTGAAAGAGAGCAATAATCTTATATGCACAGTACGTACATGTGTCACTTCTTTCGAGAAGTTCTAGTCAACTGTTCCCGAGACAGAAACAAACTTCCTCAAATCTTGCGTTACAGATAGTGCTACGAGCCTATGGCACGAGAGTCACAACCAAGGCTGACCAGCCGCTTCTCGCCATGTGCAGTGTCGTCGGGATTCGGCACTCGCCCCGGAAGATTCTCGGCATGTTCCGGCAGCCATTTGTTCTCGTCGAGCTCGACCGTCACTTCCCTCGCTCATTGGACACCCGCCTTTCATCACTTCATCTCTAATTGTAGCTCGTTCTCTGTAAGCATCCCCATCGACGTATTTCGGATGTTGGATGAATGAAACACCCTTCCAGAGCAGGACCAATGCTTGCCAGTATATCCAAAGCGCCACCTTGTGAGGCATAAGCCACGAGAAAAACTCTGGATTTTGAACTGAAATCTTCTTGGCTCGTAAAGTAGCCATGAAGAAATTCCCAAATTGAGGATGATCAACCCTAATCGTCAATGCCAGCTTCTCGCCGGGACAAGTTGCGTGAAGGAGCCAGGAACCCTCCATGTCCATGAAAGGACTGACATGTAGAGGCTTGGCGACGCAGTCGCCACTCGGGTCAAAATCAAAGGTCACACGTTCTCCCCATGGAGTGTTTGTCACCTCAGCAATCGCTCGGGCCAGAAGTCCGGCGTCGTCGTAACAATAATACACACTGAGAGGGTTCTGCTCATACCCAACGCTGGCCGGCATGCAGAGGAGGTACACAGCTCCAGACGTGCCGACGATGGAGCGCGCCTGCTGCGCACTTAGATGGTGACGAGAGGCAGCAGCGAACCAGGCCGGCGATTCGTCCAGATTCACGAGCGCATAGCGCACTTTGTACTCGAACTGGTGGCGAACAGGGTGCTTCCTCTCGTGCCAAACCACACCTTCGTACATGGCGTGCGACGCATCGTGCGTCTCGCGCTTGGCCCACAACCACCGACCGGCTTGCGCGATGGAGAGCAGCACGCCTCGGCAGAACACGCTCAGCTGAAACCAGAGCAAAGACCCCAGCATGGCCAATGGTCCTGCCATTCTCGGCCCCGTCGGCGCATCAAAGCATTTCTCGACTAGTCCGGATCGAGGTCACCAATACCTCAGCGTCGGTGAAGAACTTCCGCATGGCGATTCGGGGCGACACATTCGCTCAGAGCCGACTGATTGCAACGCCCCACGCCGCCCGCGCTCTCCCACACGGAGTCTTCCTCGTTGCAATTTTTCGAAGTTTCCGTTTCGGTGGAATTTTCATCAGTGGAGACGAGCGAGCAATTTCCCTCCTGAGGAATTCCAGCCACAATTCCATACCAATTCTAGCACTCCGGCTAATTAAATATCCAGGATTGCGTGAATACACATCTTCGTTTCACTTGACTCACCTGAACCCAGAATTAAATGTTCGATAGATTTGTAGAAAATGTGTTTGTTACATCATGATACACATATTGGTGCACAACCTGTATTCTTGCGTTCTAAAAAATTTCCAAATTACTTTTCCGTTCGATCATCTGCATAAAAATATACACATGAATACAACTAAAGAACCAGCTTCACAATTTGATACTCAAATTTGTGTGAACGTACTCATATGTCCTTCCAATTATATAATATTAAGATAATTAAGAAAGAGATTATTCAAATATGTCTTTTTGATGATGAAAGAAGTGAAGATCCAATTAGTTTGAGAGATTTTTTATGTGTATTTCACTTCAGATACAGTTGTTTGTTTTTCATGTTCAATTTTAAGAAGTTAATGTTTCACGTCAACAAGAAACTTTATTAGTATATATTAATCCTACAAAAATGTCATAACAAGTTATCGATACTTGATCAAGCACATAATCTTTGATGAGATTATTTAGATATTTTTACGCTATTTTATCATTAGATTATAGTCACAAAGGTATATTGACATTCGTAGCAAGTTTTTTAAACATATCCATTCTACTTTACTTCCAAAAAGTCTGCTAAATCCATCATTCATCAATATTTTAGGGCTGTATATAAATTCGACTTTGAACTTGAAAACTTTGGATAACAATCTCAACATTTTATCTGCCAAGATACTTTTGTTTCAATGTAAGCAAAGACATCCTCCAAGAAAACATATGTGTTTCATTACTTTGGGCTGCATTACAAAAACAGTATAGCTTTTGTTCAGTAAAACTCTAATTTGTGTCATAAAAAGCTTTGATCAACTCTCTTACATGGTGACAAACTAACTAGTTTGACTAGTTGAAGTTAAACTAATCAGAATTTTTGAAAAAACGATTAAATTCTTAACAATCATTCATGCTTGGAGATCATATCATCCATCACCTATACAATTATTTTTTTTATAAGATCTAGAAAAAACTTATGATACTATGTAAACAAGAACTGAAGAGAATTAAATCGTAGTCAAAACATTATAAGATAAAAAGTAATTGTAAACATAAAAAATTGCTAGTAAAATCTACTTGTTCTCATTATTTGAAATCTCCAAATAAGCAATGACTCTAGCAATTTGCAAAAAATAACTTTGACAAATGAATCAGTTACATTAAGTTCACTGCTAATCTTAATTGTATTGAAACCTCTTATAAAAACGTCAAATTTGACGAAATGATATCTAAAGTCAATAAGTTTCAGCTTGTTATCCATATCTAATTTGTTCCAAAATATAATGCTCTTTGACTATTACAATAAAGATTGAAAATTATATGTTTCAAACTCATTCAAATGATTAATATATTCAATCAAAGAGCATATTTTGATGGTCCTACTTTCATTCTATATTAGTATTTTAAAGTTGATTGATTTATATATTTTTTCAAAATAAATCTCCAACTAATGCATTCATCATCTAATGCAAACACAAACTATATTGTAAATTTTTTATAATCTAGATATTTTTCATATTAAGCATCAACATATTATGACAATCATTTGTAAATTGTCTGATATACGATACAATTTTTTTATTGGTTCTTAGAATTCTTGAAATATTTGAAAATCCACTTCACATTTTTTCAATGCACATTTTTTTGATTTGATGTAAATATGTTCATCTTGATCATAGCTAGAACAAGATTACAACTTCTCTTTCAATGTTCAAACAATGATCATGTTACTACACAAAAGCATATACATAAAAATAATCAAAATATTGATCATACTTGGCAATGTCAAACTTAGGTCTAAACCCTAAACCCTAAACAATCATCTTTTGTCATCTAATTTTTCCACAAATTATTCAATATTGTTGTAATTTCTGTGATTTCCAACTATATTTCATTTATCATGGTTTTTTGGTAATTTATCTTGATACTAGAAAGTTAGTATTCATTTAGATGCTCATGTTCCAACACACTCTTACACAATACTTCTTAGTAAGTCCATTTATTAACACTCCAAGATGATTTGTAGATTTAACTTTCATTGGTAATTGTATTATCACACAACAAAAACCTCTAATGTTATTTGAGATATTTTTCTCCAAATCTTTACATGTCTAATTTAAGTAATTATCATAGTTTTTTATGGTGATTATTGTCCAATTTCTTTTCACTTATATAAATTTTGGTCACTCTAATCAATATTCATTAAGTTTCAACTTTTCATTAAGTTTTAAGACTTATAGAAATTTTTTTCCCTTCAATTAAGGTTGCAACATGCTATTTAGTGCCTTGAAACTTTATTTAATTGCCACTAAATTAAACTTTAAGCAAAGTTTAATGAATGACAATTCTACTACTTTTTTTAAGCAATCAGGACTAAATTCTTTATGTCATTGATTATATGTAGTGAATTGATACAAGTGAGATTAATTTTCTGTCGTATCTTACCCTGCGACCTTTTATTGCGCAGGAAAACTCGTGGACTCCTGCCAATCGTCACATTAAGCTAGCAGATAATATCCTTCATATCTCTTTTCGGTACTACTTTCAATTCGAGGACTCTTACGTTCTCTAGGGGTTGAGAGTTTCATCGAAGTAAGGTTTGACTATCTTAATAAACTTTGTAATTGGGACCAGGCTATCTAAAATCCAAGGTTGGAAAAACTCTCGACACTCGTCGATGTTCTTCTGAAATGTGGTCTAGTAGCTCTAATCGATGTGAGCATTGTATCTACATAAACCAAGTCAGTACCAAAACTAAGTTTCTCACAAGTCTTTGTGTCACTCTTGTCCACCAACGTCTCACTGTTGTCAGTCTAAAACTTGCTTAATGGGTGCTAGCAGGGTAGTCTACAACAGTCGCTGAGTTTGGGGGTGTGAGGAAGTCAATCTCTGAACTATCCACGCGATTCTGATGGGCAAGCTCGACCTTATTTAACTATTAGCAGAAGTTTCAGAAGTCAGAATCCTGAAGAAGAATCAGAAGGTTTTAATTTTCTCCCTCCACATATACTTGTCCATTCTAAGGGAATCATAAGCTGACAAAAACGTTTCGGGAAACCACAACCAGAAATACTACTTCGACCCAGCTATAGCAGATTTTGACTTCTAGCTATCGACCTTCGTGCTGGAACTTTCACATTGAAATCCCTCACACGCATCGTGTTTTGACATGAGACAAGATGAATAAATCTCCAGAACATATCAGTTTCTTAATTTGAGTGTGATGAGAACATCACAAGATGCACTACAAAACACGCCTCCTTTATACAAAGTTAGGAGCCAGGGCACCTATCTACTTCTCCCGTGTATGACATTACACCTATGCATTCCACATCCATATACAATCCAGGCGTACGTGAAGTACAAAATTGCTAACCCACAGAAGATGGCTCGAATTAAACCAGTCCGAATGAAGTCCCATCAAACCACTGGATTTGGCTCCTGCAAGAGGTAAACACAACGAGAACTTAGAAAGCTGAGATCCAATTCTATCTAAACACATACAGATGGATGTGGATGTGTTTGCAAAACAATGTAGTACCTAATATTCCACCGATTTTACACCGGGAGTCTACTGAGCAGATACATGTTCATGGACTATACAGGCTCTATAAAGCCTCGGTGAGCAAAACCACAAGAAATAACGTCCAAGCTGTTCGGTTGCGGACACGGACAACGTACCTTGGAGAAGCTACGGTAGGAGTGCGTCACTTGAGTATCTCGACCGGCAAAGCTGGTTTCCAGAAAAAGCAGGAGGGTTCACTAGAAGAGCTATCCATGCCTTCCAATAGCTATTACCTTGAAATGGGTTGGTGACAGCCAGACTTCCCAGACATGGTGTGTGGGCGTCCGATTATCATCTACCTGGGGAGCCACCGCATGTACTGCAATAAACAGATGCCGGCGTACTCTATAAACCAGACCTACACTTCGAACGCAGCGACTTTGAGTTGAATGTTGCTGCAGATAGTGAATCCTAACAAATTGGAATGTCCAAATCGACACTCACGCTAGTCAATGAGGGACCCGCAGACATGCATGCTGCTAGCCCGTCCATGGACCATTGAAGCCGATTCTTAAAATCTCCATACTAAGATCGACTGAACACGAAAAGGTCTGCAACGATGTGATTGCAAAGCCAAAGGTAGGAAGACCGTGGGATTACGCCAGGCCCACACGAAAAGTACTAAAGATCTGCATCAACCCGGCTTGGTTTGCGGGATCCAGAGACTGTTGAATCAGAGCACCAAATTTCCCTGGGTACTGTGTAGACACTTTGGCGAGGGAAACTGCCAGATACTCCTTGGCGTCTTTCACTTCCTCCACTGGATCTTCCTCCTTCTTTCCAGCATTGTAAAGCTGGGCATAAGTAGTAGTGTAGCCCACAACTTCGTCCAAGTCGGGAATATCAGTCTCTTGTTCCACTCTCTCCTCCTCCGGTCTGACTAGCAGCGTCATTACGCTGTTCAAGAGCCTTCCCCACAGCGGACCTGCACCTTCTGCTAGTAAGGCTGGGGACTCTGTCAGTAACTTAGTGGCGGCAACAGCACACAACTTGGTCTCAGTATCTCCGGTTATGTATGTGAGATTGGGTACCCATATTTGCTCCAAAATCATGAAGACAAGATTTGGCTGGACAGCGTTGATGGAATCCGTCAACAAAGCATGTCCATGCTTGACAGCAAATAAAGACATGAAAATAATGAGGGACTTGATGAACTTGACAGTTCGTTCTCGCTGCAACCTTGTAAACAGAATTCCCCAAATCTGGGGAACATACTGAGCAAAGGTGTGGTAACTCAAGCTCTCAATAACCGTGTTAAGGATGTAAAAACCCTGATGATCTGTGCTCCTCGAAGCGACCAGCTTCTCAAAAACTCCGAGGACGGAATTTAACTGGCTGGCCTGATTGAACTCTTGAGGTGCATTTTGAAGGTAGGCTTGCAGCAAGCGCACGAGAGCAGGAACATTCGCTGATCGTTGCCACAATGTGGGAGTCAGAAGAGGAGGGAACATGCCTATGTAGACTGAGGGAAGAGGGGGTCTGCGACTCTCAATGAGCTGAGCCAAAATTTGGAAAACATAGGGTGCAAACTCTGTGACATCCTGCTCCAGAACAATCTGAACCACAGGAAAGAGAAGTGTCTCAAAGGTTGCAACCTGCTCGGAATCTCTCCCACATGCCTTCCTCACAAGTGCTGCGACGGCTTCAAAGAGATAATGATTGAAGCTAGGGTTGGTCGGGTTTTTGCACACCTCCCCAAGTATTTTGGCTAACTCTGCAAGACACAGAGACGTAAACTGTCGTAGATCTGCCATTGACACCACCCGCATGATGCACTTCATCACGTAGGCGTTCTCCTGAGACTCTGGCAACTTCAGAGCAGCAAAAAGATTAGTGAGCAATTGCTCAAGGTAAGGATCCAACTCGGCTCCGCTGTATCTGGGCTGCTTTCCATCCTTCATTGCCAGCATTTTCTCGATGCAACTGGCAGCGTAAGAGTGAACTACATTTGATTCAGCCACCAGAAACCTAATCAACAACTGAAGCGCCACAGCCTTCGGCACCTGGCTCCGGAAAGTCGTCATGAACTTCAAAGCGTCTGCTTTCAACAGCGGTAGAGAATTCACATCTGCGCTCTGGAGCTCCGGAACTATTTGAGTGGTGAAAAATTGCTCAATATTCACCAGGTCAGACCCGACCGAGCCTCCCCCAGCTTGTCTGGGGGCCAGAGATACCACAAGGTAGACAGCACAGTCCTTTCCCTTCCAATTCTGAGCCGGGTTGACGGCGTACTCTCTCAACATCTCTTGAATGTAAGCTGAGAACATTCCCGTCACCTGTTCCCGATAGTGAGTGGACAGCCCCTTGACCAGCTCACAGGCCATTCTTCTCCGAGTATCAAGATCACTCCCCTCCATGTCTCTTCGGATGTATTCAACGTGATTCATTTCAAACAACTCCTCGTCTTCGTCACGGAGTTTCACGTTGGGAATCACAATCCTCTCGCAAATCTGCTGAAGCGTGGCTCCGTCGGCAAACAGAACGTGGTGGACGCTCTTACTGACCGTGGTCAGAAACTTGATGGCCGTGGTGGCCAAACGATCGTGGCTAGGGGAGAGGGAGACAGTCATGAGAAGTCCCCAGACGTCCTGGGCAAACTGGCTCAGGTATCCCTGGAACTCCTCTTCATTCTTCTCCATGTACAAGTTAATGTTCTCACAAATTGCGGCCTTCAGCTGATCCACGACGCTCTCCTTGTCAGCTTCGGCCTCCGACAACGACGGATTGTTATAGGTCAAATACTTGTGAAATTCGCCCATCCACTCGGCCATGTGGTTCTCGAAAAACTCCGGGAGTTCCTGGAAGTTCAGCGAGTAGAAAATGCGGCAACATAGTCTTTGTCTCTCGAAAAGGGTCTTCAGCATTACGGTGTTATCTTGAGTGGAGGCAATAAGCTGCCCAGTCTTTTGAAAAACCTCCAAGAGAGGTGCGGCAAACGCATCTAAACAGTACTTGAGATCGGTGAAAAGCTCGTTGCTTTTGTACTGATATCTAAATTTCTTGAAGATGGAATTGGCCGTGCTGAGAATTCCATTGATGACATGCAAGTCCGTGGAAGACCTGAGATTCGCCACTAGCTCGGGGAGAAGGAGGGGCCACTTGGCAGGAAAATCGTGATTACTGATGATTGCGAGAGCCTCACTGAGCTGAGACTGAATTTTAGGAGGTGTGTTGAGCATGAGACCCACAATTAGGGCTTTGATTTGCTCCTTTTCGGAGTCCTGAATCGAAGCCAGAGTGGACCCTTCCGGATCGGACACCGGCCATCGATACTTGATATGATTCTTGAAGTTGACGGCAGCGGATTGTCGTACCTGATCATCCACGGAAAGCTCAGACAACAGGCGCAGAATTGCAATCCCATAACCGGGCTGCTCTGAGGACTGCTTCAGAAAAAGCTCCGCCAACTTTCTGGGCTCCGGATCGGGAGCCAGAGTCTGCTTGAAGCAATCCGCCAGCGTCCGCAGCGTCTCCTCCGAGTACTGCATGGTGCCCGACCAGGATGCGAAAGCCCTCGCCTCCCCTCCTCCTCCTCCGGCACTCGTTCGCACCTCGCGCCCCGTCGCGCTCCCCTGCCCTCGACGCGAAGTCGTCCTTCTAACTTGCGCAGGGTCCGATCTCGCCCCGCGCTATGTACAAACTATCCACTCCTCGTTGCTAACCCTGCGCTCTCCGCGCGGCCCTAAAAATACTGTCACCTAATGACCCCCACCCTCTCGTTCTCTCGTTCTCCGCGGCCCCGGTCAGTCTCTCATCCCCAGGGGTACCAGGCAGACGCTACATTACCAGCCAGAGTGCCGGGGAGACGGACGCGTACATTTCCGAACACAGACAGAGACCGACAAAGGGACCCGGCAGGTCAAGGGCCTCGTACGAGAACGAGGAGAATTCAAATGTCTGGAGAGGGCGGATCGAGGGGGAAAGACGGGCGCGGCGAATTCCCAGGGAGCTGTAGTGACGGGATGGAGCAGCAGCAGGAGATCGTCCACGGCGAAGGTAGGGAAGGGTAAGAAGAAGGGTTTAGGATCGGGAAAGGAGGAAACCTCGGGGCCCTCGAGAGCATCATCTGCGGCAGCGCGACACCTACCTACCTCTTCGTTCCACAGGCGATCCGGCAAATGTAGGACGGTTCCAGTTCATAGGGCAGGCCCAACGGGGCTCGCTTTCCATTTTAAGGGGCGTCCCTCGCCGCCGTCCGATGCGACATCCGGCGCGATGCTCCAGCTGTGGATAAAGGAACATGCGCGGCCATCTAGTGCATTCACTCGGCCTCCGTCGATGGCTCTGAACCGCTCGATCAAATCGTGCGGCTGAAGCTCGATGCGGTCTCGGTTACGCTCCAAGAGCGGAGGTAGCTGCGCTGTCGACGCAGCGACGGGGAAGAACTTTTTTGGCATCTTCTGAGATGGCCGTTAGATCTCGGGTCGTGTGTGGCCGAGATCGTCCGAGATCGGTCGCTCTGGCTGGAAGGGGCTCGCGGGGGCCGGTAGGGCGAGCCAGCTGGACAACCGGCGTCTAATCCCCCCTACCACTTTCCTCCCTCACCTAAGATAGAATAATTTCAAACCAAGGGGGTGAGCACGCTCGCTACTGACCGTTTCCTTCGCTTCGACTTTTCCTTTTTATACTCGACCGTTAGATTCGGGCGAGATAGTCAGACGAGGAGGAAGATTGTGAGGCGAGAGGCCGAGAGAGCAGGTTTCGACTATCACTATCACCATTCCATTTCGGTCGACGCTGATACTCGTTTGAAAGCTTTCCGAAGGGGCTTTACACTCCAAACGGTCCAGATGGTGGATAGTCTGTTGAGTACCAAATGCCGTTGGATGGATTCATTCATACGCTAATACGGCCTTCGCTGGTGAACTACGGTGAGTGAATTAGGTCTTCCGATATATGACCACGCGTTTCCGCAGAAATAGTATTTCTTGAAACACCATAAAGAAAGAGTGTGTCATTGGTAAAGTTCAAGTGAAATATGTCCATAGTTTGTTGCATCTCTGCCACCTCTTTTTTTTCAGCTAATTTCTTTTGGAAAAAATTGTCGCTGTATTATTGCAAAACACCCGAATTTGGCTACACCTTACAGCACGCTCACAGAAATAAGCCGTACTGTATAGCGCATGGGACTTTGAAGTCAGATAAGCTTGTTCTAGAGTCTATCTAATTGATAAGAGTGCATGTTCATGTGCTTTGCATGGGTAAGACCCGGTACACTTTAATTAAACAATAAATGGTTGAAACTTCCCACTTTGGTCAGTCAATTTAAGGTTTGACTTCCATTTGAGAGGGTACGGTCGGGATTAAAATTAACTAGTACTTTGTGTAGTTGTGAGATTAATGTAAATTGATCAATGATCAAATATTCAATTTCAGAAACGAGTCCTCATATGACCGCATACATTTGAATGTTACTCCATCCTTTGGAAATGATGAACTATGTTGCTTGCCTTGTACACATCCTTCACAAAACAACATGAACAACTCATGTTTGCCAAGGTTCATGCCGCTTACTATACTTTGGAGAAAACGTACACTCCTTGCAGTCAAATGTCCAAGTCAAAGTCCTATTGCAACATTCGTTGATGATGATTGCGCCACCTTTGCTAGATCCGCGTTAAAGACCTTGTTGAGGGTCACTTGATATAAGTTGTCTGCACGAGGTGCCTTTGCAAGCACATTGTCATTTGGGGCCTTCAATGTGCATTCATCCACATTGAATTGCATTTTGAATCCACTAGACACAAGCTTGCTCATCGAAAGCAAGTTTGCTTGTAACTTGGGCACATGAAATACATTTATCATTGTCAACTTCCTCAACCGCCCCCTTTCAAACATCTCAACAACAATGCAACCCATTCCAATGGCTTGCACAACACTATCATCACTCAAATGCACATAGCGTGATGAAATTACTTCATATGTATCAAATGCCGCCCTGTAAGGTATCATGTGCTTTGTAGCGCCCGAATCCATGATTCACTTGCAAATGAATTTGGAATATGATCTATCTTGTGTTGCAAAAGCGTAATCATCTTCATCATTTGCATGGTTGGCAAACTCCTTCTCTTTGCCTTGATTTGCATTGTCTCGCTTCCATTACTTTGCCTAGAAGCAATACTTTGCAATGTGGCCCGATTTGCCACAATTGTAACACACTTTGGATTCTCCACGTGAGAATGAACTATCTCCTTGTTTTGACTTGATACCAAGGCCGCATTATCACCATGAAACTCCTTCTTTTTGCGCTTGAATACTTCATGCATTATTCTTGCCGTGACAAACTCCATCGTAAGATCTTAAAATTGCAAGGTTTCCATAGCCGTGATTAAGTTCTCAAAGGAAGATGGCAAGCTTTCAAGCAAGATCATAACAACATTTTCATCTTTGACGGGTACATCCAAACAATTGAGTTGATCTGCAATGTCTCTTACATGGTTGATGTGGGTTAGCATGATATCACCTTCTTGCATCTTGATGGTAAAGAACTTGCGATGAACAAAGAGAATGTTGGACAAGCTTTTTGTGTCATGGATGTTGCACAATGGCTTCCATGCTTCCGTTGGTACTTTGCAATTTTTGATATGGACAAGTTGATTGTCCACCAAATTCAGCCCTATTACAGACATCGCCTTCTTCATACAACGATTGTACTCCTTGAAAGCCTTTGGATCCTTCTTGATGCACTTTGCATCATTGTCTTCATTTGGTGAAGGCTTCTTCATGCCTTCTACAATTTCTCAAAGGTTCATAGACTCTAACATCATCTTCATCTTAAACTTCCAAAGGCTAAAATTTTTCCTTGAACTTATCAATGGTGCTAGCACTATCATTCTCAAATGTAGTCATGATATCACTAAGTATACCAAGATCAACACTTCCAAGTTCTCAATGTGCAAAATGGCATCTCTACACTTAACTCAAATTCCTTCTAGACTTCAAGGTGTTTATGCACAACTCTCACACTCACATCAACCTCGACAAGGCTATGTAAGCACCTCCCACTATCAAATTGGCCCTTGCAAGCTACTCATGCATTCAAGTACTCTCACAATGAACTTAAATGCACATCTTTGCAACCCACTCAAGTAAAACTTCCACTTTCCTTGCTTCTACATGCAAAGATGGCCTTGAATAACTTCAAAGAACATCACCTTGAGTACAATATGCATCTATCCACTTCAATTAGTTATATCAGCACCTCTAGAGAGCAAAAAAAGTCACATTCATAATGTTTGAACACTTAGAAGGTCCAAAAAGTTCTGAATGTGCACCTTCATCACTCTTGCAATTCTAAGTATCTTTTCAAATCTCCAAATCAGCCCTTGTGTTCTTCCAAAGCTTCAAATCAATCCTTCTGTACCTCACACAATGCCTCACAAGACCTCCTCCAAACTACTTAGCAAAGAACTTTCACTTGCAACTCCCATGAGTGGGCCCATAACTTGTTGTAGTAGAAAAGTAAAGAGAAGTTTACTCTAACAATGAATGTAGTGAGATATGAGTTTCTTTCAAAGCACTTTATTTATAGTACTTGATTGCACATCTCTTAGTGATTCTCAATGGTAACTCTAAACCCTTGTGACTCTCAAGAGTCACTTTAACCCTTGATGACTCTCAAGGATCACTTTGATGCTAGAAAGGTATTCATGAGTGGAGTATCGACTATCGTTCTCTCTTTAAATGATAAGCTGATCAGTCAATCCTTTTGGACGTCTTTTCTGATATTTTATCTTCTTTAGTAACCGTTGCATGCTCAAAAGCTGAAATTTGTAAATTTGTCTGTTATGCATTAAGTACTGGTATAGATTAAGTTAGAGCCCAAGCTGAATATGGCATATGAGATCATTAGCAACATTTAGTTTGTTCATACTTATAAACAGGGAAATATTTAGTCTGGATAGTTTCCAACCTCAAGCTTTTTTGTACTTCATTGTAGATAAGGATGAAAAGCTTTTCGTGTTGTTTATATTAGAAAGTTCATTTGTTAACTTGAATCTTCTCGTTTTGCAGCATCTGTATCTTGAATGATATCGTGATGGACGATAAGATAATATATGTACTTGGAAGTGTATGTGAAATGCTCTAGACGCAAAGTATGGTGTATGAGGCCTGACGGTGGAGGTTTGTGGTCTTTTGTGTTACATGTGTGTTAGCGGTCATGGGGCTCGGCACAGCTACTAGACTTCTCTAAAGCAACCGAGTAAAATCTGTTCAGACGCAGTTCTTGCAAGACGTTTACTTGTGCAGAAGATCTCGAAGAACTCACAATACTGTAGATGGGGTTTATGTGCACTTGGCATACGTAGTTTCACTTGGTTCAGATAATTTGTTCCACTATAGGTTGAACTATTCCAAAAATTTTTGGCTATGCTTTACTCCATGTATTTTGTCTATTTTTTGAAGGTTAAATATGTTTTAACATGTCTTCTCCTATCCATGCAGATACTTTGAGGTGCAGCATGGCCGATTTTTCTCTCATTGCGGACACAATCCCATACTTGTCTCCAAGTACACATGAACAATCTATCGTTCTCTCTGGTTGGATAGCAACAACATCCACGAGTCGTAAATGAAAGGCAAAAACCTTTGCAAGTTGGATTTGGAATCATTTCAAATTGGTGAAAGATTCTAATAAATCCCTTATAATCTGTCTTGAGCCCATGGGTTTTCAGAACAGTAGATGCACTACCTCAATTTTGGCCAAAACTAGCACAAGCTCATTGTTTCGTCATCTACTTGTAAAACACAGTATTTCAAAGAGTCACAAATCATGCGATCCTCTGTAAACTTTTTTTTATGTAAATGGTGAACTGCAAGATCCTTATGAGTTGGCCAACGAGTCCAAAGAAGCCAATTTAAATGCCTTGGTTGCATTTGTTGTGAATCACCAACAAGCGTTCAACCTGGTCAAAAATGAGACATTTTGATCATTTTGCCGACGTCTCAACCCCCATTACTCACTACCATCGCGTCAAACTCTAACACGTTCATTATTTGATCATTTTGAACGAGCATTACTACAATTTTGTTCAATTATAGATTCTATCAAGGGAGCGATTGCTCTCATTTTGGATTGTTGGTCATCTCGTGTGATGCGTGGCTATATGATGATTACATTTCATTGGATTGATGAAGAGTGGAAACTTCAGTTCGTTGTGTTTGAATTTTGCTATTTTTCACCTCCACACAATCAATACACTACATCGGACTAAATTCTTTCAGTGGTGAAAGATTTCAACATGTGATCCAAGTTCAATACCATTACATCCGATAGCGGCGGAGAAATGCCATCGGTCATGATCATTATGAAAACAGAATTTGAATAATGAATACTCTCTTCGGTTTGAGGATGGTTTTCATATACGATGCATTTGTCATGTCATCAATTGTGTTG